TCCTTTCCTTAGTCCAACAACCATTTAAACATTCCTCTTAATTCTACTTCTTAATAATAGTAGTCATTTTGTATGGACACAGTAAGGGATACATTAAGCTTTTAAGGTGGCTCTCCTGGGGACATTTCACTATAGATTTCAAGCTACAGTACTCAGGTCAGATTAGTCTTTCCTAACCCTAGCAGGGTCCTAATCCAGTTGTTACTCTTTGGATTATGACACAATTTATCCATTACTGTGCTCTTAACTTATAGTTAAGTATTATGGTGCTTGGCCTGGCCCCTTTCAATGCCAGGGTAGCTCACAGCTTGCCCTGGGTCCATCCAGTCACTCGTCGGGACCCTGCTTTGGGGGTGCTAGGAACTAAGGGCAACTGAGGCTTAAGTCAAGAAAACAGATGCCCAGGAGTGAATGTTATTTGGAGTCAATTAACTCCCAAGTTACAAAAGCATAGCATTAACTGTCTTCCTGTGTCTATACAAAAGGAACATTGCTCTGAAGTAAACTATGCAAAAAACATAAGAGAAGGAGAAAAGCAATATTTCACTTACAAATACAAATCCAGTGTCCTAGAAGGATCTTACATTACAAGCCAACAGAGTCTGATTTGGGGATAAAGGTTATTGACTGTTGGGGAAGCACAGCGAAGAGGTTACAGATAAACACAGAGGAATGGGAGTGCCTGGGGAGCACTGTGATGGGTGTAACCCAATAAACCTAAGCTCCCTGTGGCCAGGGAGAAAGGACATACAAATGTTAAACCTAAAATGTTTAGAGCTATATTCCAATAAACACAGAAATGGGAGTGTCTTGGGAGCACTGTGATGGGTGTAATCCAATAAGCCTAAGCTCCCTGCGGCAGGGAGAAAGGACAAACCAATGTTATCCTACAGCTTGGCTCAATAGACTTCTAGACAGAAAGGGATTTTTTTCCAGTGTCTGGAGAGAGAGTGCGGGGATTAAGATGCCGGCCTTGCAAAGAACAGGCCCTGGTTTGATCCTCAGCACTACATATGGAACCCTCAGCACTCCCAGAAGTGACCCCTCAGCACAGAGCCCACAGTAAGCTCTGAGCACAACTGGGTGTGCCCCAAAATGAAAAAGAATAATCCCCTTTCACCCTCCCTGGGCACTTACCTTCCTAGCACACATATTATGTTTCTTCAGTGTCATCCCATGGAAGGAATTAGGGCCATTCCAATCCAAGAAGGATTGCAGGCACAGCTGCATCCAGGAATACCAACCAGAGTAGCAGTAACCTTGCTGTGTATCACAGACAGGCCCCCTCCACCAGGCCTCCAGAGAGCCAGTCCTGGACCTGTTCACTGAATTAGCATCACTGGGTTGGAGCAGTGATGTTTCAAGGGTGGACATCATGTGAATGGGGGGTGTGCATGGCATGACACAACAGGGCCAACTAGAGCAGAGAACCAGGAAGAAAATAAGATCAGAAGGGGCCACAGTGGGACAAAAGGGGAGAAAACTGAGGGGCTGGAGAGATAGCAGAGCAGGTAGGGCGTTTGCCTTGCACGCGGACGACCCGGGTTCGATTCCCAGCATCCCATATGGTCCCCTGACCACCGCCAGAAGTAACTCCTGAGTGCAAAGCCAGGAGTAACTCCTGTACATCGCCAGGTGTGACCCAAAAAGAAAATAAAAAAGGAGAGAAAACTGAGAAGAGGAGATTTCCGTGGGTTTGGGCCTGCCACTCGTTAACCACTCACCCACGTGGTCAGAGGGACGGCCCTACGGCCTCTGTGTTAAGGGGCGAGCTCATGAATTAACAAGTAGACTGGAAGCAGACCTGTTGGCTTCTTGGACACTGCAGGCCCTGGGTCCAGGAAAGGGGGAGCAGAGATAAACACTGCACTGCGGTTTCGGATCCAGAGCCACAGAAATCCCTCTCCACAAAGGCCCATGTGTTTTCAGCCCCCAACTGGCATGCTAAAAAGTGAGTGCTGGAGCTGTAAACAGGGTTAAGGTGCCTTGCACGCAACCAAGACTGGCTCACCCTTCAGCAGCACATGGTTTCGAGACCTTGGCTGGTGTCTGAACCACTGTCTGGGTTCCCCCAGAATTATCAGGTAGGAGCCCAAAGCCTCCTGAGCAGCACTTGAGTACACACATGGAACAGAGAGATGCAGCCATTTGCTGCCTTGCACTTTATGGTGAAGCATAAAGGTTAAACCTTCCGGGGCTGGAACGATAGTACAGCGGGTCGAGTGCTTGCCTTGCACGGGACTGACCCGGGTTCGATTCCCAGCAACCCATATGATCCCTGAGCACTGCCAGGAGTGATTCCTGAGTGCAGAGCCAGGAGGAACCCCTGTGCATCACCGGGTGTGACCCAAAAAAGCAAGAAAAAAAAAGTTAAACCCGGGTTCGATTCCCAGCAACCCATATGGTCCCTGAGCACCGCCAGGAGTGATTTCTGAGTGCAGAGCCAGAAGGAACCCCTGTGCATCACAGGGTGTGACCCAAAAAGCAAAAAAAAAAAAAAAGTTAAACCTTCCCAGTCTGGTTCTCAGGCCACACCTCAGTGGGAAATGGTTGAGCTATTGCCAAACGTCCCAACACACATGCTTTGACCCCACTGGGACTTCTCTCAGGGATACTGACAAGGCACGGAACTGCAAGAAGCACCCTCGTAGGTATCAATAGCAGGGATAAACTGGGGACAACCAAATCCCCAGAGAGTCACGGAATACCCCCACAGAATGAAATGTGGGGTGCAGCAGCTAAACTGTTTCAATTACTGCTATTTCACTCAGGGGCCATGAGGCGCAAGGGATCGAACCCAGAACCTCACACATATAGCTCAAATGCTCCACGGCTCAACTCCATCATCTGATTAAATAAGTGAGTAGTGGGGTACACAGCATGCACCTCCCCAGCTTTGCATTTCCCCAGACACAGACCAAACCTACTCACACACTGGGGCAGTGCCGAGTGTGGGTGTGCCACATGTAAGTTGGGATTCTGACAGCTAGTGGCTGCTGGGTCATAGGGTCAGGAAAGATTAAATAATGAACAAGGACCATAAAGCTTTATTTAATAAATATAACCAAAAATTTCAAAATACTTTATTCCATACGTAGCCAATTGGAAGGAAAAGAATTAGGAGGAAATGTTTGAAGGGTGTAGATGAAAGGGTCAGGCAGAAGGCTGGGAAGATGCAGTGAGAGGAAACCGCATGGGAGGAGGCACCCCAGAACCACCTTTATGGATGACGCATCGTGGGTCACTGGGGGAAGGCCCCTGAATCCTCTCTGGCCAGAAGGGGGACACCAAACTGACACTTGCAGAATGACTCAGGACTCTGGGCCTCCTCTGAACCTGAAAGGCAGTTTGCCACTGTCTTCTACAGTCCTCGAGCTGGGTTTCTGCACCCCAACTCCAGGCTCTGCTCTGACCAAGCTGCCCTTACATGCAGCTGGAACTCCATCTGGACCCAGCCCTGCTGTTCCACGCTGGGCTTTCCCTTTATGCCTGATATTCTGGGCTCTGCTCTAATGCCTCCAGTTACCTTTGAACAGAAAGTTCATTTTCATAGTTCACATTATTCAAATCTGCAGGGGAAGGACGGGAGGGTGCTGTGGGGTTGTGGGGAGCCCCAGGAGGCAAGAAGTCAGTTCAAAGGCAGGCTGGAGATCTTGGAGGTGAGCCTGGGCAGACCCTGGGGTTTGGATGGCAGGAAGGGGGTTGACCCCTTCTTTGGTCCGACGGGGACGCTGTCCTGAGATAAGTGTGGTACAGGGAGTACATGGCAGTGTTGGGGACCCGTTGGTCATTCCCCATAAAACTAGGTGGACCGGGGAACAGGGTATGGATTTTCCCGAGATACCCGAGCAGCTTGTATCAAGGTGGGCTGTAGAGGGTTCCTGACGGGCATCGAGCATTTCTCACCACTAGGGAGTTTGTCCCTCCTGCTCTGGGAGGAGTCCCCAGAGACTTGGCTGCAGCCAGACCGGGGGACATGCTCTGGACCCTCTGCCTTGACTCCTGGACACTCCTAGCTGACCAGAGAAGCACTGCAGGAGGACCTGGATCTACTAGCTTCCTGCCACTCCCACACCTCTACCCTGCCCACGCCTCTAGAGTAGGACAGACCCAACCAGGCAGTAGGGGCTCCAGAGCTTCCAACTTTCACTCACTGACCCCAGGAGCCCAGCCCAGAGGGAGTGGCAGCTGCCTTATGTCAGGTCTTGCATAGTTGGGGACTCTGGGCCACCCTGAGGGTACTGTGGGACTGAATGAAAGCTCGAAGGGGGCATCAGAGGCAGCCCTTGGACCCCCTAAGGGTCAAGAGTGGATCCAGCCAACCTTAGGGTGTTCCTGGTTGATGAATCTTAAAGAGCACTGAATGTCCCCCTGTTCCAGTTGAGGGGGCAGCCCAGGCAGTGGAGGCTGGTGGGGGTCCCGAGGATCTGAGGGTGCCGCCCCTCAATGCAGCGAGAGTACTGAGGGCCTTAAAGAAGTTGCCGGCAGGCCCTGGCTGGAGGGACTTGTGCCTAATGGGGTCCTGGCAAGGAAAGTGTGAGGAACCGGGATCTTGGCAAAAAAAAAGCCTCAAACCCTTCCACCCCGCGACCCCCAAATACACTGGCTGCGGAGGAGGGGGGTCACAGATTTGCCTTCTCCAGACTCTGCGGCTTATGGAAGAAAGCCGCCACTGCAGCTGCCGGCCAGAATCAAAGCTTTCCCATCTTTGGAGACCACCGAGTCTCAAGCACCACGACAGAACTTTCCAGAAGGCCGAGCAGTCCCTGGTGCATCGGGTGACGCTGCCCACTGGCCCCATGCCCTTCCCACACTCAGGTCCGTCACAAACTAGTGGACGGAGAGAGACCCTCGCCTTGTCCCCACCCCAAGCTTTTGGTCGTCCCCCCACCCCCGCCCGGCACAGCCCCCAGGGATGCTCTCGGCCCTGCATCTCCCACGACCCACCCCCCCGTCGAGGGCCGCCCCGGTTCGGGAGAAGCAGGAAGACGCAGCCCGGCTCCATCCGCCTCCGCCTCACTGGACGCTGCCCTCGAGGGCGCCCGAAGGTCCCGCGAAGGCGGCGGGCTCGGAGCCGAAGCTCGTGCCGCCCGCGAAGTCGCGAAGGGCGCCGCCGCGGTCCCCGGGCGCGGACGCGGGCGGCGCGGGCCTGGGCGCCGGCGGCGCGGGCGGCGGGGCGGGCCCGGCGGCGGCGGCGCCGCGGTGCGTCTTCATGTGCGTGAGCAGGTGCGAGCTCTGCGAGAAGCGGCGGCCGCAGCTGGCGCAGGCGTAGGGCCGCTCGCCCGTGTGCGTGCGCTGGTGCGTGACGAGCACCGAGCGCTGCGAGAAGCGCTTGCCGCAGTCGGGGCACGGGAAGGGCCGCTCGCCCGTGTGGCCGCGCCGGTGCTTGGCCAGGTTGGAGCGCTGCGCGAAGCCGCGGCCGCAGTCGCCGCAGCGGAAGGGCTTCTCGCCCGTGTGCGTGCGCCGGTGCCGCTTGAAGTCCGAGCTGTGGCCGAAGCCCTTGCCGCAGTCGGGGCAGCGGTGCGGCTTCTCCTCGGCGTGCGCCCACTGGTGCCGCGTCAGCGCCGCGCTCTGCCCGAAGCGGCGGCCGCACTCCCCGCACGCGTAGGGCCGCTCGCCCGTGTGCGCGCGCCCGTGCGCCGTCAGGTGCGCGCGCCGGCTGAAGCCCGCGCCGCACACGCCGCACACGAACGGCTTCTCGCCCGTGTGCCCGCGCACGTGCGCCGCCAGGTGCGAGCCGCGGGCGAAGCGCGCGCCGCACTCGGGACACGGGAAGGGCCGCTCGCCCGTGTGCGTGCGCCGGTGGCGCGCCAGGTGCGAGCCGTACACGAAGCTCTTGCCGCAGTCGGCGCAGCGGTGCGGCCGCTCGCCCGCGTGGTAGCGCTGGTGCTTGGCCAGCGCCGCGCGACGCCCGAACGTCTTGCCGCAGTCGGAGCAGATCCACGGGCTCTCCTCGTCGGCCAGAGCGGCGGGCGCCGGCTCAGACAGCAGCTCCCCGAGGGTCGGCCCGAAGGCGCGCAGACCCCCGCCGCCGCCGCCGCCGCCCCCGGGCCCGCCGGCGGTGGCGAAGGGGTCGCACGCCAGGCCCGCGCCCTCCACCAGGGAGAGGCGACCCCCCAGGGGCCCCGGCAAGGGGCGCCCGTCGGCCGGCAGCCGCTCGCCAAAGTCCGGGAAGCCCAGGATGGGAAAGCCGTCCGGACGCAGCCAAGACTTGGGGTGCACGGGGAAGTGGAAGCCCAGCGGGTGCGAGGTCGCTCCTTGGCTGTCGCCCAGGCCGTTGCCCAGCCCGGGGATGTGCCTGTCCGGCGGGGGATCCTCCTTGCTCCGGGGAACAGGCGGCGCCGGGGGATCCCTGGCCACCTCCTTCTCTCGTGCGTCGGCGTCTGCCTGGCCCGGCTCTTGGGGCTCCGGAGGTTCGGGCTCGGGCTGCGGCTCCTCGGCGCTCCCTGCAGGCCCCCGCGCCTCGCAGGGGCCCCGGCGCGGGCCGCCGCCGCTGCCGGGCTCTGTGCAGCCGCCGCCCCGCCGGTGGCGCTGGAAGTCTGCGCGGAGGCGGAAGGCCTGGCCGCAGTCGGGGCAGCAGTGCGGCCGGTCGGCCGTGTGCACGGCCTGGTGGCGCGCGAGCGCCGAGCTCTGGCTGAAGCTGCGGCCACAGTGCGTGCAGGGGTAGGGCCGCTCGCCCGTGTGCGTGCGCTGGTGCGTGACCAGGTAGGAGCGGCGCCCGAAGCCCGCGCCGCAGAAGGCGCAGCGGTACGGCCGCTCGCCCGTGTGGATGCGCCGGTGCGTGACCAGGTGCGACTTGTAGACGAAGCGCTTGCCGCAGTCGGGGCACGGGAAGGGCTTCTCGCCGGTGTGCGTGCGCTGGTGGATGGCCAGGTGCGAGCGGTACACGAAGCCCTTCCCGCACTCGTCGCAGCCAAACGGCTTGATGGCCGCGTGGTAGCGCTGGTGCTTGGCCAGCCTGGAGCGGTGCGGGAACACTTTGCCGCACACATCGCAAGTGGTCTCCGGCCGCCCGATGGGGGCCGCCCCCGCGTCAGGGAAGGCCCAGGGTGCCAGCATAATCGCACCCCGCTCCCGGCCCGGCGGGAAAGGCTTGGTCGCGGCCCCCTTGGCCAGTGCTCTCAGGCCACCCAGCTCTGGCTCCCAGCCCGGCGGGGTCTGTGCAGGGTTGGAGTCGTCGGGGCCCCATGTGCCCGGCACGTCCCCCACGCCGTAGGCCGCTGACCACAGCCCCGGGGGCTCATTCTCCTCCTCAGCCACCTCTGCCAGGAAGTCCTCGTCGTCCTCCTCCTCCTGATCCTCCAAATCATCGGTCCAGAACCAGGCTCCTGTGGAGGAAAGGCAGAACAGCACAGTGGGGAGAGAGGTCAGCCCGGGCACTCTCTGGGTCACACGGGGCAAGGACTGTGCCAGGGTCCTCCTGGAAGGTGACCCTCGGGGTCTCTTCAGACTTTTCCAGGGCAGCTACCTGCTGAGAGGCGGCCTCTGAAGGGAGCCCCCAAGGGCAGGGCCGGTGGTCACAGGGTTGGGTGGCCAGGCTGTCTTCCTGCCACACCCCATTTTTGCAACTCCTCTGGGCTGCCAGAGCTCTCATGCCCGCACCCCTGCCTAACTGAGCAGAACCCGCGAACCCAAGAGGCCACAGAGGCAGCCGGAGGGAAGGGGCGTCTGGTGCCTGCTCAGACACAACAGACAGGCACCAGGGCTCGAGGGGGCTACCAGCCATGTACCTGCAGCCCAAAGACAGCTCAAGGTCACCTGTCTCTGTGTGGTCATGTGGTCAGTGCTGGCAGACCCAGCAGGTGTGGGCTCTGTGCTGTGCCTGGCCACCTGCCAACTTGACCCCGCAGCTCCAGGAGGAGAAGGTGGCCCAGCGAAGGCAGGGGCCTGCCAGGGCAGTTCCCCTCACTGCGGATGGCACCAAGGGGAAGCTGGACCCCTCACCCCAGGCCCGGGTCCACAGCCCTGGCCAAGTGGGGTTCCCTGAGTCCAGGTGAAGCAAGGGCCAGGCAGGGGCTGAGGCTGGCAGTTTGAGGCCACTCTTATGGTCCCTGGCAGGTAGCTCTCACCCCCTTCACCTGGGGGCACGAGAGGGACAAGCAGAGGAGGGACCCCTCCCCTTGGGCTCAGGGGTGCTCTGAGATGTCAAGTGCCCCCAGGGGCTGTTGTTGGGGAACAGACAAGGCCAGGAAGAAGCGGCAACAGCAGCAGTGTGTGCACCGGGAGGACATGTGGGAGGAGGGGGAAGAGGACACCTAGGGGGGAGGGCAGCGTGGGGGGATGGAGGCCAGTGGGGGGGGACACACGAGGGGAGGTGTCACCTCCTTGCATACTGAAGGTACCAGGCCTGTGAAGGCAGCTGGGCTGCTGGGGGGTAGGGGAGGGCGCATGGCCCCGAGATGGGACGCCAGCCCCTGCCCAGCCTGAACCAGCAGGGGAGCAGGTTGGAACGGGATGCTCAGGGAGGGCCTGGGCAGGACCCCTGCACTCAGGCTGGTGGAAGGCAGGGGAAGGGGTCAGAAGAGGGAGGGGCCAGGAGCAACAAGACCCACTGGGGACAGCATTAGTGGAGGTGGGGGACACAGGGGGAGACAGGCTAGGGTCAGTGCTCACAAGTGGCTGGCAGAGCAGAAGGCACCGGGAGGCACTTGTGTGCCCTGTGGGAAGGTGGCACAAGGCCACACCACACCCAGCCTCCCCATGCAGAGCATGACAGCCGGCCCCTGGCGAGCAACCTGGCCCTGCCAGGTCAAGGGGGTGCTCAAGGCTGCACCTCAGGACCTGCCCAGGAGCCTGGAGCCCAGGAGCTTCTCACTGGGGGCTCCTAAGAGGCACCCCTAAAGGGGCATGCCTCCCCTGGACCGTCTGCGAGAACCTGTGCCCCTTCTCATCTCTGCCAGTGCCTGCCCCCGTCCTGAGGCGCAGGGCAGGTCCAAGAGGGTCCCCAAGATGAGGGGCTTAGGTGGGAGAAGCACCGAGCCTGGCTCTCCCCATCCCTCCCCGCCTGTGTACCCCCCCCCCCCCCGTCCCTGCCCGGGGCGGAAGGTGGAGTGACAGGACGCAGCGCAACCCGGCAGTGGAACAAATCCAGCCCTCTGTCAGGGACCACCAGGACCCCCCCCCCCAGACCCTCCTCTCAGGACAGAGACAGGGCCGCCACCCCAGTGCCTGTCCCTGAACTACTGACCCCTCTCCCACGGGGACCATCCAGGCCCCACCGAGCCTCGGAGCCCAACAGTCTCAGGCCTCCATGGGCCAGTGGAGCCCCACAGACAGGCCCCGCCTCGGGCACAACCCCACCCCTCGGCCCCTCGGCCCCTCGCACCTGTGTAGACGCCCGTGACGATGTCGCCCTCCTGGGGACGGGAGCTGTCGGGCACCCACGGAGCCTCCCCCTGCTCCAGTCGGTAGATGAGGTCGGGCTTGGGGATGGGGTAGCCTGTCCAGGAGAGATGGCGGGGCTGCAGACCTGAGGGCCACAGCCAAGCGCCCCCTTCCTGCCCACCCGCCCGCATGCCCACCCCGGGTGCGTGCTGTACCCAGGGACACCAGGATCCCGTAGTTCTCCTGCATCACGTCCCTGTACAGGCCACGCTGCGCCGCGTCCAGATGCTCCCACTCCTCCAGGGACAGGTACACAGCCACGTCCTCGAAGGTCACCAGACCCTGCTCCGAGGGTAGGGTCACAGTCAGCGCTCGGCCGCGTCAGCCCCCCCACCCCACGCCTGGGCTCCGCGTGACTCACCTGAGACCCTGATGTCAGGGAGTCCTCGTCATCATCATCCCCCTCCTCCTCTCCCTCGTCTTCTTCCTCCTCCAGGGCCTTGTCCCTGGGCCAGCCCAGAACCCAGGAGGCCTGTTGGGCTGCAGGAAGAATCAGGGCCCGTGGGGGGGTGGAAGGGCGGCTGTGCAGGAGCCTGGGATCCCCCCGCCTCGCAGCCCCTTCTCTTACCCTTTTCGGGAACCACTGAGGACTCATCGTGGCTGGGGCGGCTACGGTGCTCCCGGGCGCCCCCCAGTCGGCTCCCTGGCTCTGCCATGACCTGCACCTTGTCTTCATCGTCCTCCAGCTCCACGTCCACCTGCCCCCCCAGGCCCTCTTCCCTTTCCTCCTCCTGCTCCTCCCTTCGGGCCTCCAGTGCCTCCTGCAGCTCCTTCTCGTCCAGCCGGGCCCGGCAGCCCCACCTGCCCGCTCTCTCCAGGGCTGCTCGCAGGGCTGCCATCTCCTGGAACCGCAGCTGGGCCTGCAACAGATCAGGAAGGCAGTGAGTGAGCAGCCAGCCCTGGGCTCTACTGGGGTGGAGGGGGGCAGGGTTCTCGGGAGACCGGGGCTACACCCCAGATCTTCCTCTCTGAGGACCTCAGGAGGCCGAGAGCAGTGGGGGTATGGGATAACTCTGGTTTGCCCTTCCTCCCTGGCTGCAGGGAGCTTGGGTTTGTTGATTGCTCCCACAACCTGTCAATTATCTTTGTCTCCTGATCAGACTCTGCTGACTTGTAAATATTGTTTTTCTCTTCTCCTTAATGTCCTTTGCATGATTAGTTATTTCAGAGTTTGGAAGAGACGAGAGAAGGAATGATCACTAACCAGCTTGGCCCTTGTTCCTCCTTCGTCCACTCAAACTCTCTCCACAACTCTCACAACTCTCTCCCCAACTCACCCCCAACTCTTCCATCTCTCTCCAACCCTCTCTCTAACTTGTTCCACACCGTTCTCCACCTCAGGCCACGACTCTCTCACTTGGCCACTCCCCACAGCAACTCTCTCTCTGTGTCCCCTACCCTGGAAGTGCAACCAACATGTTTATCAAGCCTTCCTGACCACCTGCTGCCCAAAACAGCACTTAAGGTGTGTTTCTTCTCTCCGTAGACCAGTTACTTAATTAATATCTTAATTCTAGTTCCTAATATTTGCCATTCTGTATGGGCACAGTAATAGACACATTTAGGCTTGTAGGGAGACTCTCCTGGGGTCATTCATCTCACCATAGACTCAGACTACAGTGCTCATGCCAGACTAATCCTAACCCCAGCAGGGTTCAAATCTAGTTATTACTTTTTGGATCATGACAGAACTTGTTCATTACAATGCTCTTAACTCATAGTTAAGTATTATGCCACTTTGGCCTGGCCCATTTCTATGCCAGGATAGCTCACAGCTTGCCCTGGGTCCATCCAGTCCCTTGTCAGGACCCTGCTTTTGGGGATCTAGGAAGTAAGGGCAACTGAGGCTTAAGTCAATAGAGCAGATGTCCAAGAGGTAATATTATCTGAAGTCAATTAACTCCCAAGTTACAAGCTTGTCTTTTTAACTGTCTTCCTGTGTCCATACAAAAAAGTAATTGCTCTGCAATAACCAGCCATGCAAAGGACATTAAGGAGAAGGAAAAAACAATATTCACAAGTCAGAGTCTAATCAGGAGACAAAAGTAATTGACAGGTTGGGGAGGCAATCAACAAACCCAAGCTCCCTGCGGCCAGGGAGGAAGGGCAAACCAATGTTATCCTACACAGGGGCACACGGGGACAGGAGGAACATCCCGGGTTCAAGAGCGGCACGGCACGGGGGGGCCTGCCCTGGGCTCAGCATATCCCGGAGACTGGTCACAGCCCCCGTCCCTGCTGCAAACTCCGGGCGCAGCCCTCGGTGCTCACTGGACCCCCTTCCAGCTGCGCTCTGCTCCAGACCCATAGATTCGCAAGTTGGACACTGTGGCAGAAATCCCAGCACAGGGGCTGGAGTGCACAGACAGAAGAGAGGATTCGATCCCAGCACCACCTGGAGTGATTCCTGAGCACAGAGCCAGAAGTAACCTCTGAGCATTGCCGGGTGTGACCCCAAAATAAAACAAAAACAAAAAAAATCCCAGAGCAGGTCCTAGCCCCCAGCACCCACCCCCAGGCTTGCAGACCCCTGGGAACTGCTGCCGAGAGAATCAAATGCCTGTGAACAGCAACCTCAGTCCCTGATTCAGGAAACACCAGCGATACGGGGTCACCCGGCTCTCCCTCGTAGGGGACAGCATCCCCACAGAACTCTTCAGACGTGGGCCGGAGAGACAGTAGAGCAGGTTGGGCATTTGCCTTGCATGTGGCCGACCTGGGTTTGATCCCTGGCATCCCATATATGGTCCCCTGAGCACCACCAGGAGTAATTCCTGAGTGTAGAGCCAGGAGTAACCCCTGAGCATCGCTGGGTGTGACCCAAAAAGCAAAAAAAAAAAAAAAACCCAAAAAACTGAACCCCTCAGACAAGCCAGGGCAACCTCCGAAGTTCCCCTGGACAGTGAGAATGGGCCCCTCATGGACCGGCTCTCGCTGAGACTCCCTATTCCAGCCCCTACGGCTGTCCCCTCTGAGCTGTGGGTTTGAGGATTCGCTCTGGTATGTGTCCATGAAGACCAAGGCCACCTCCAACGCCACCTTTACTGACATGCTCATTCCCTTGGCAGGCTTAGGGACCCAAGTTCACCTTCAGAGTCACTGACGCCAAAGTCACGAGAGCAGAACCAGGTCTGGACAGCCTCCTGCACCTGCTCAGCCTGCAAGTGGTGGAGGACGTGGCACTGCCAGCACGCAGGCCCAACTGCTGCCCACCTTGCCTGAGGAGGCTTCTCTCAGCTAGACCTCATGCAGACCCTGGACAGCAGAGCTGCAGCCTGCCTGGCACCAGTGGGCCCAACTCGCAGCACCAAAGCAGCAAACCCCACAGCACTGGGCTTGAGGGACCCCAGGATCTTTGCATGTGCAGCTCTGCTCCTCAGAATGCTCCTCCCCTCACTGCAAGTCCTGGGGAGCAGCCAATCAGACTCACAGCACACGGTTCCCTGCCCCCACAGCAACACCTTTCTGACAACTGTGCACAGGTGCCTGGTACCCAGCAGACTCAGCAGAGCCCTGCGAGTTCGAGCCTGTGTGAGACAGAGTGAGCCTTCAGGGTACGGCTGCAGGGCGAGAGGTTTCAGCCTGGGCCTCTCTGCTCCCCACAAACAGGAGTCTCTGCAGCCTGGAGAACTTCCCCAGAGGGCATCCAGGGGAGATTCTGCTCCCCCAGAGGGCGGCAGGAGCCCCCAGATGGGGCAGGACTGAGCACATCCTGAGAGGCTCCCGTGGACCAGACTGGGTCTCCGACCCTTTGCTCCCGTTTCTCCTCCCCAATTGCCACTTTGCCGCCTTCCTCAGACTTCAAAGCTCACCGGCTTGAGGGAGCAGAGGACCCCCAGGGTGGCACTGAACCTGCGTTGCATGAGGGCACCCCAGGGTACCACGGAGACCTCCTCCAGGAGGGAAGCAGGAGCAGGGTTGACACAAAGAGCTGATGGGCACAGGGTCAGGTCTGGCAGCTCAAACAGAAGAGAAACCTGGGGTGGGCACGATGCGAGGCCTCCAGGGCTTGCACCCCTCCTGGGAGTCTCCCCTGCCCGGCTCCTGGACCCTATGCTGGGTTTGAAGACTCAGGCCCACACATTCTTCCAAGTCTGTTCCCAAGTTACGTGCCCCCCGGCCAACCGGCTCCCTGCAACAGCAGACACTTGTTGAACCAACCCAGGTCTCTGCGCTCCGGCGCGGGGGGGGCTGGGGGAGCTCCTCCCACTTGTGCAGCTCCCCGTGGGGGCCCGGCCGGTGGGGAGCAGCCAAGGGACCCCAAGGTCACCCCCCCCCCCCGAGCCAGCCACCTCGTCCCTCCCACAGAGGCCGGCAGGGGCACCCCTGGAGGGGCGTGTCCGGCTCCGGTGGCCCCAGCCTGCGCGCGCCTCCCGCGCCCCCTCGCCGCGACCCCGGGGGCCCAGGCGCCCCCGAAGCCGGCCGGGTCATGTGGACCCTGGGCGCGGCCACCCCAGGCTCGGCCCGCGCGCGGGGCTCCGGCCCGCGCCCCGGCCCCGCGCCCGACCCCGCGCCCGCGGCCCACGCCCCGCGCCCCTGCCCTGCGCCCCGCGCCCCGCGCCCCTCACCCCTGCGCCGCGCCCGCGCCCCGCGCGCACTCACCGCGCCCGGCCCGCGCCCGCCGACGCCGCCGGGGCCTGAGGCCGCGCTACACAAAGTGACGGCCCCGGAGCTGCGCGGCGGCGCGTGGGCACCGGAAGTGCCGCCGCCGGCCCCGCCCCGCCCGCGCCCACGGGGGGGCACTTCCGGTCACGCGGGGCCGGCGCAGCGGAGGGGTCGGCGGTGGCAGGATGGGGAGACCCCGACGCAGACCCTGGGCCTTGGAGCCCCCCCCCCAACCCCGGCCCGACCCAAGTTTCCCAACCTGAGATCGCAACGAGCACCCCCGTGGGCGCGCCTGGAACCTGCCTGCCTGTCTGTCAGTCCGTTCACGTGAGGCTCCAGTGTCGCTGTGCGGGGTCACCCAGGGGTGCTCCTCCCGGCTTGGTGGTTGGGATGGTTCCCAGCAATGACCCGCCCAGGGGCTGCCCACGTGCAAAGCCAACCACCCCGGAGACCAGCCTGCAGTTGCTGTTGCTGTGAATTTCAGCCGAGTCGAAGCTCCAGGAGGCCTGAGGCCGGACACGGGGTACTAACTGCCCAGGTGGCTGGCCAGGATTGCAGCTGCTGCCAGGCAGGAAGGGGTGAGTCCACAGAAGTAGATGGGTCTTGGTGCCCGAGACCCCCTATCTCTGCTTCTTGCAGGTAAGCCCCTGTCCCCTGACCTCCACCCTTCCACCCAGCACAGCCTCACTCTGACCCTGGGGCCTCCGTCTGGGGAGAGGGAGGTGGAGGGGTTGCAGGATCGGAGCGGGGTCTTGTGCACTCACACACTCTCATGCTCACTCATAAACGCACATTAATATGTGTAGGACAACATTGGTTTATCCTTCCTTCCTGGCACAGGGAGCTTAGGTTTATTGGATTATACCCATCACAGTGCTCTCAAGACACTCCCATTTCTCTGTTTGCTGGAATATAGCACTAACCATTTTAAGTTTAACACTGGTATGTCCTTTGTCCCTGCCCTCAGGGAGCTTAGGTTTATTGGGTTACACCCATCACAGTGCTCCCCAGGCACTCCCATTCCTCTGTGTTTATCTGTAACCTCTTCTCTGTGCTCTGCTTCCCCAACCAGTCAATCACCTTTATCCCCAAATCATACTCTGTTGACTTGTAAGGTCAGAGCCTCCTAGGACACTGGATTCATATTTGTAAGTGAAATACTGCTTTTCTCCTTCCCTTACATCTTTTGCATAGTTACTTCAGAGCAATGTCCTTTTTGTATAGACACAGGAAGACAATGCTGTGCTTTTGTAATTTGGGAGTTAATTGACGCCGAATAATATTCATTCCTGGGCATCTGTTTTTTCAACTTAAGCCTCACTTACCCTAGATCCCCAAAAGCAGGGTCCCAGCAAGGGATTGGATGGACCCAGGACAAGCTGTGAGCTACTCTGGCATCGAAATGGGCCAGGCCATAGTACTTAACTATAAGTTAAGAGTATGGTCATGGACAAATTCTGTCATGATCCAAAGAGTAACAACTGGATTAAGACCCTGCTAGGGTTAGGAAAGACTAATCTGGCCTGATTACTGTAGTCTGCGATCTCTAGTGAGATGTCCCCAAGAGAGCCACCTACAAGCTGAATGCATCTCTTACTGTGTCCATACAAAATGACTAATAGTATTAAGAAGTATAATTAAGAGGAATGATTGAATGGTTGTTGGACTAAGGAAAGGAGAAACACACCCCTAGATGGTATTTTGCCTTAGGGGGTCATCTTGCTGGATGAGAATTTGTCCTAAGAGAAGCTTCCCCTGAGGGCTGGACTTTACATCTGTTGATTGTATGACCACACCTATGTGTAATTGCTACCCCAACCGCTCATGATTTGGGGATATAACTAAGGCTGTAAGAGCGGGCAGGGGGAGGAGAATCCAGGAAAATCGGAGAGAGGAGGATGGACGAGAATAGGAGAATCAAGCCAAGATTGGAATAAACTGCCACTGATCACCAACCAGCCTGGCCCTCGTTCCTCCTTCGTCTGCCCATTGCTATTCGCCGTCCCGGGTGGGGGAAGCGGCCCAAGACCACCAAATGCAGATGGCGAGAGAGCACTGCCGATCACTTATTCATTTTTTAAATACACACATACACTCCCGTGCTTCCATTCACTCTAACACAGTCTCACTCTCACACTCTAACACACTCAGTCACTCTCTTTGCCTGCCCCCGTCCCCATTTATTTTAGCCCCCAACTCCACCTACGATGAGCCAGGAGGGAGTTCAGCTTGGGGCCCTGAGGAAGGAGTTTCTGTCCCTGAGATGTGGGGTGCTCCCTGCATCATTTGGGGAGAGTTTATGGTCCCCACTCCCTACTCTTAACCTCAGACTTTTCTCGCCTGCAGCTGCTGAATGATTAACTCTCCTGGGATCTCTCCCAGGTGTCTGGGGTGAATTCCAGGGGCTAATCCACCTGGGGTCCCCTCATGGAAACTAGGGACAGTGCCCAGCGTGCTGGATGGAAGACACAGCAGAGTTCTTTAGGCTCCTGTGTCCTGAGGGATTAAGAGTGGGACGAAGACCACACAACCGCTCACAGACACACACACAGATGCACACACAGGCACACGCACACGCACACGCGCACACACACTGTCCCACCTCCTTGGCTCCCTGTCCTGGCATTGTGGCCAAGTGTGTGATGGGATGGAGGGAGCATTTCAGGCAGAGCCCCCCAGCCCATCCTGGGCCTCTGGACAGAAGCAAGGCTCAGACCTTGTCCAGGCTCCCCTTAGGGTGCAGAAGGGGGGCGGAGTCGCCTCTGGGCCCCTCTTGGAGGGGGACACACAGATTGTGGGAGGACCATCTCCCGCAGGCCTGGCTGCTACTTTTGGTCCTGGAGTCCCTCTGGAGTGACCTCACACTTTGCATGCTGGCCTGGAGGCCAGTGTGAGAGGGGAAAGGCCACTCAGGGAAGGGGCTCAGGCTGTTGGGGGGACTGGGGACCCCCCTTTGGGCAGCCATCATGAAGGCCTGGGGAACTGGCTGCCCCGTGATTACTGTTCTGGCTCGAAACCACTCAGGCTCGGGGCTCAGGTGTGCCCACGACAAACTGGGTGCCGACACCAGCCTGCTCCTCACCCACTTTGCCCATTACCTGTCTGGGTGCTCAGGGCTGATGCCTGGCTCCGCTCCCAGGGATTACCCGTGACGGGGATCACATGGGGTGCTGGGGACTGAGCCCTGGTCAGCCACATACAGGCAAGCACTACCGCTGTGCTATTTCCCCGGCCCCAGCCAACTGCCTGTCCTGTGACCCCAGGGACACCCTGTGTCACACATCATCACCAGCCCCCTCGGCTCCCATGTCTGTGTCCTCTGGATCCAGAGCTGCCTCCGGCCCATGGCTTCTCCAGGGTCCCGCCACCATTGATGTCCGGGGTCCAGATCCACGTGGCACCCACAAAGTCAGCCTTGCACTGCAGAGGGAGTTCTGGTGAGTCCCTGGGGCGCCCAATGCTCCCCGCCAGCCCAGCCCATCTCCTCAGTGGCAGATGCGTTCCTGGAATCCCCCAAGACCAGATTCAATCATGGGTAATAAATCTTGGGATAAAGATGAACTGCAGTGGGGCAGAGCAATAGCACAGCAGGTAGGGCGCTGGCCTTGCACACGGCTGGCCCAGGTTTGATCCCCAGCACCTCATATGGTCCCCTGAGCCCACCAGGAGTGATCCCTGAGTGCAGAGCCAGGGATAGAGATATCACACAGGGTAAGGTGTTTGCTTTGCACGTGGCTGGCCCTGGTTCTTCCCTCACCTACTGGTCTCTCGGGCGCTAAGGGCCAAGTTTCAGGTCTGCCCAGTGTCTGTGGAGAGACCCTCACCGCGGCCTCTAGGGGTCCACGCATGCACCTGCAGCCAGCTCACTGCTGTCCCAGCACTCAGCCCGCAGGCCTGCCTGTCGGTCCCTGTCACCTCCAAGGGTTTTCCTGAACTAGCCCCTTCTTCCCTGTAGCGTAACGCGCAGAGACCAGTGGGCCACTCTTGTGTCTCCGGTTTGTTTATTTGTCACATTTTGTTTCTCACCAGTCAAAGGGAGCAGGCTGTTAGCAAAGAGGCAGCAAGGAGAGGTCGGATCTAAGAGGATGCAACTGGGGAGTCCCAGCAGCTTGCATGGGGGGCCAGAGGCTGCAGTCCAGCCACCTGCCCCCTTCCCGTGACCTCTGCCTGGGAAGCTGCCCTTGTGCATACTCCCCCAACCCCCCCCACTGATCTCACAAATGACATAGAGACAATTTTTGTAGTTGAATCCCCCCTCCCCATTTCTCCTTTCCACCCCCTGCAATGAGGCCTGCTCAGACCCTGCCTTGCCTGGCCAAGAAGACCCCACCCCAGGTTCTCCAGGCCCTCATCCCATAGCCTCTGCCACAGGTCAAGGCAGGTGACCCCAACCTCTTCAGGTGACACTGTGCCTTCAGACCTCGGAGAGGACCCCGACAATGTCTTGTGCTTCAGCTACCAGCTTCCGTCCAAGAGGACAGTGTGGTGGCAAAGAGTCCCCAAGCTGGCCTTGGACACGGCGTTCCTGGCGACCCTGGCGAGAAGGACACAACTTCCCCAGGACAGGGCTCCTTAGCATTTGCACACTGGCCCAGTGGGTCTCATACCCTGTGTTTCTAACACGTACATTTACATCAGGGTTCCTTCCATCCTGATGATTTTCATTCTAGTAGGTTACCCCACCCCCACCCTGCAAGGCAAACGCCTCTGTGGAAGACTGAACGCCTTCAGCAGCTTTCCTGTACTACAGACTCTGACGTGGTTTTCACTGGCTCCAGTTCTCTCCCTGAACATTTCTGTAGGGTTTAGTGTGTGTGTTGGGGGGGGGGGGGGGGCGGGGTACGCAACTGTGCTCAGAGCTTACCCCAGCTCTGTGCTCAGGTGTCACTCCTGGCGGGCTCGGGGACCATATAGGGTGGTCTGGTCCAACCTGTGCAAGACAAACACCCTATCCGCTGCTCTATCACTCCAGCTCCTCTTCAGATGCACTTTCTGCCCTCCCGCCCCCACCTAGAACCCCCGGTTTGCCTCGGATTACTGTGACCAACTGTCACCTCTGCAGGTGGAGGCACATGTCCGGACAGTCTGGTCGCTGGCTGGCGAGAGGGATGCCGTTTCAGCCGCCGCTGGCGGTCTTCCACGGAGGGTCTGGGGGCTCTGGGGTGTCTGTCGGGGAGCAACCCGGCGATCCTGGATGGGACGAACCTTGCAGCCGGCCCCGGCGGGGTCAGGGCGCGGGCGCGGGGCGTGGGGTGGCTCCGGGGGACACGCGCGGGGGGCGCAGCAAGCCGAGGCCCCGGGGGCGGCCCGCGCCGTGCAGCTGGCGCTCGTGCCGGCGGATCTGCACCTTGTGGCGGAAGCGCTCGCCGCAGTCCTCGCACGCAAACGGCCGCTCGCCCGAGTGCGTGCGCCGGTGGCGCAGCAGGTTGGACGAGACGCTGAAGCGTTTGCCGCAGTCGCCGCACGCGTAGGGTCGCTCGCCCGTGTGCGTGCGCCGGTGCTGCACGAGCGCCGAGCTCTCGCTGAAGCGCTTGGCGCAGTAGCCGCACGCGTAGGGCTTCTCGCCCGTGTGGATGCGCCGGTGCGTGACCAGGTTGGAGTGCTGCGAGAAGCCCTTGCCGCACTCAGCGCAGCGGTGCGGTCTCTCGCCCGTGTGCGTAGCCTGGTGGCGCACCAGGTCAGTGCTGCGGCCGAAACCCTTGCCGCATTCGCCGCAGATGGTCGGCCGGTCCCGGGCGCGCCGGCGCCGCTGCCGGGCGGGCGTCAGGGCGGCGCTGCCCGCCGGGCCCGGGATGGCTACCAGGGCGGGCGCGGCCGCCACGGCCGGCAGCACCATCAGCTCCTGCACCACCACGTAGCCCGGGGGCGCCACCATGACGGCCGCCGGGGTCCCGGGCTCGGAGGAGGTTCGGTCACCCGCCGCCGCGGCCACCAGCTCCAGCTGCAGCTCGGGGGACACGGGGGTCAGCTCCAGCTGCAGCTCCTGCGGCGGGGGCCCTGGGGACACCGGCGTCAGCTCCAGCTGCAGCTCCTGCTGCTCCAGCTGTTGCTCCAGCTGCTGCAGCTCCTCCTGGAGTCTGAGCTGGAGCTGCCGCTGCTCCCGCTGCCGCTCGAGCTCCTGCTCCTGCTCGGACCCCGCGTCCACGGGCAAGAGCTCCAGCTCCACCTCTTCTTCCTCCTCCTCGGGCTGCTGTATCCGCGCATCCTGCAGCCGCAGCCGCCGCCGCTGTGCCGGTTCCCGCTGCTGCGGCCGCGGCTCTAACTGTTCTTGCGCTTGTGCTCCATGCAACTGGAACTGTTCTTGCGTCTGGGACAGCGGCTGCTCCTGCTGCGCTGACTGTCGCTGCGATTGTCTCAGTAGCTGAAGAGCCTGTCCCTGCCGTCGCTGGCGCCACCCTAACTGTCCCTGCTTCTGCGGCTCCAGGTGTTCTTGCTGCTGCGGCTGTTCCCTGTCCTCTCCGTGCTGCAGGAGCTGTTGTGGAGGGCGCAGCGGTTGGGGCCCTTTTGGCCAGCACCCTGGCCGTGCCTGCTGCTCCGCCTGCCGCTCTGGGGGCGCCTTCTTGGAGGTGTCACCGGCCTCCGTTGGGACTAAGACCGCCCGCTGGGGGGCGCTGGTGCGCCGCTCCTGGGCCTCTTCCTCCTGACTCTCTCTCCCACCGCTGCCACCTGTGGGATTACAGGAAGCCAAGAGCAAGGTCACCGGGTGGCTCTCTCCTCCAGACCTCTAGCTCTCCATCCCTGCATGGGCAGCGTGGGGGACATTACTAAAGTCTGAGCGGGGGCCCCAAAATACTGGTTTAAATAGTGGCTGCAAAGCAGGAAGAGAAATGGGAAAGCCCAGAGATGCAGGATTGGCCTGAAATAAATCCAGGGAGAGCTGTCCAGGACCCTGAACCCCAGTTCTCAATCCCTCCTCTGACCTATCTCCAATGTGCCCCGGCCTTGGCAGTGACTCGTGAGTGCTGGGGTCTGCACACCATCCCCCTCTGCACTTCAGCACACTTGTTGCAGTTCCCTCATCACTGCTATGGTCAAGTCTATGCTGGAGGGGGGCCCCATAAGTCAATGCAACTCACTTTCTTTGGCAGAAATAAACAGTCTGGGGCTGGAGAACCAGCACAGTAGGTCTGGTACTTGCATTGCACAGAGCTGTCCCGGGTTCAATCCCCAGCACTGCACAGGGTACAGGGTACCGGGCTCTGCAGGACTGATCCCTGAACACAGAGCAGGGAATAATCCCTGAGCACAGCCAGGCGTGGCCCAACCCTCCAAAAAAGAATGAAGAAGACCCTCCAAGGTACCCGGAAGTACTGCCACTGCGCTTTCTGAACATCACAAACGCCAGGACACCGGGCAGCCACAGGGGCCTCTTTTCAGGCCAAACTGGGTCAGCTCAGAGACAGCACCCCCAGCTTGGGTAGGACTCCAGGAGGTGGCCTGAGTGCCTGGACCCCAGTAGAGCAGAGCCACGGTCCTCCTTGCTACCTCCTGTGCTCCCCCCCCACCCTAGTGCTCCTCCCCAAGCTCACATGCTCCTCACCAACGAAGTCTGGGGCAGGAGCCTGAGTTTCAGCCACCCCGAGGCCCCCATGGGCTGACCATCACCTGCTGCCCTACAAGTTTTCCTGTTGCTAATGAAAAGCTGTGGTTTGAATCATTCCGGCCACTTTCCCAGGAAACAATTGATTTGCTTTTATTTTCGTTTCTGGACCACAGATGATGGGGCTTAGACTGACTTCTGGCTCAGCAGTGCCAGAAAACTGGGCTGGGTCCAACTCACACAGGACAAGCACCTAGCCCACCGCACTCTTTCCAGCCCCAGGAACCAGCTGATCTCCTCAAACCCTACAAACGCCCTTTGCAGAGACACACGGGTGTGTGAGCGCGAGGTCCCTGCATGTCTACCCCAGTGGGAGACTGTAGGTGGCAGACCTGAACATCTGCCCCCGACAAGTCCCGCACCTCACGGAGACCCACTGCATCCCGCACCTCCAGAAATGGCACAACCCCCGTGTGGGCAACAATCTTAGCAACACACACCACCAAGTTCCAGAAAAGTCAGCATGGACTGTCCTCCGGGGAGTTCCTGTATAAAGAGGAGTCGCCTCTAACTGGGGGGATACTCCAAAGCAGCAGTGCCCTCTGCTAGGCCCTGGTTCCCTTTCTAAGCATTCAGTGCCCCTTCAGCCTTTTCATGCTCCATTCAGCGTCACACTCAAAACCAGAACCCAACTTCTTTAGGTTCTAGAAGGTTCTAGCAAGGCCACATTTGCCTCTGAGCTAAAAAGAGGGGGGTGTGAAAGGTTGGGAAAACGGTGGAAGAGAAGAGGGGGAAAGGCCATCCCATCCAGGAACGTGCGGTCCAAGGACGGTGGGTGCTGCTAACGTGGTCCGCTGAAGGAATGCATCCATGTGGTGGGCTGGGAGCCGCCTGCGCCCGCCCCCAGCTCCTCACCTGAGAGGAACCCAGGCGCCGGGACCCCATCCTTCAGACTCTGCAACTTCAGCACCATGGTCTGTGCGGCCGCTCCTAGCGCCATCTGGGTCACATCCAGGAGGCCAGCGGTGCTGAGGGAGGAAGCGGCGCTCAGCTGGGGGGGCACCGGAGCCCCCAGACCCGCCACCTCTCCCTGGGGCCCCTCGTGAAGCCCCACCCCTGACAGTGGAAGGCAGCGTCCGGTCCAGCACACAGGCAGTCCCCATGAGGTGGCCCCTGATCGGGAAGGGGAGGCAGCGGGACCTGGGGGGGACACCAAGAGGTGGGTCACATTCCCGGGTCCCTGCAAGGCACTGACAAGTGCCACTCAGCCTCCAGTCGCTGGGGGTTGGGGGGGCGGCTCAGCCCTCCCAGCCACCAACTGGGTTCTCGATCAGGTGCGTCGAGGAAGCCCTCAGCTCCCCGGGGTGCAGATTCCCAAGTACCCCCACGCCACAAAACTGGCGATGTCCGCCTGCCACGGAGGATGAGGATCCCCGGCGTCCCGCGGCCCGTCCCTGCCGAGGTGACCACGCCTCGCGCCTGGGTCCCGCTCACCTGGCGCCGCATGACGGGGCGTCCCCGCAGCCGGGAGGTGTGGTCAGCGGCGGCCGCGGGGCGAGGGCGCGTCCACGCGGCGGGCGTCGGAGCCGCGGGCGCCCCGGGCCCGGCCTGGGCCGGCGACTTCGGGCGCAGAAGTTGCGGGGCCGCCCCGGGGCGCGGGGGGCGCGGCGGGGCCGGCACAGGAAGTCCCCCACGGCCGCCGCATCCTCTCCCCCGCCCCGCGCCCCGCGCCCTGGCCGCCGCCGCCGCTCTAGGCCGCCGCCAGCTCGGTGGGCTTAACCCTTCCCGGCCCGGGGCGCGGGGACGCGGGGACGCTCCCGCCCCCGCCACCCCAGCCCTGGACCCCGGACCCGCCGCCCCGCCCATTCCGGCCTCCTCCGGGGCAGGCTGGCAGGAGGCAGGCGGGGCGCGTTGTCAGGAGTGCGCTGGAGACATCTCAGTACCGCCCCCCACACACTTGACTGTTTCTTCCCCGCCCAGTTGGTCAGGGTCCTCACATTCTCTGGAGACACCCCCAAAAGTAATGAAGTGTGGGGCGTCCGCCTGTCCCTCACCGGGGCTGCAGCCTTCTCCACAAGCTGAGAGGGACATAGGGGCAGGACCTGTCCATCAGGGGGACAGCGGGACTTTGGAGGAAATAGCAGGAGGTGAAGAGTGGGGAGGGGGGCTTCCAGCAATGACTGGGGGCTAATCACTACCTTACAGTGCAGGTGGCTCAAGAGTGTGGCCCGATGCTAGGGGGTACTGTCCCTGAGTGTGAGCACCACTTAAGTGGCCTCTCAAGTGCCATCTGGTGTGGGGGTGTAAGGTGTTGGAAGGCACTTCCCAGCCTGCAACTCCCAGCTCAATGCTCAGAGGAACATGGGGTGCTAGGGGGTCAAACCACATGCTCAGCCCTCTGAGCCACCTTATTGGCCCCAAATGCGTGACTTAAAACATTTGCTTTTTTGGAGAACTGCATTATGTGCTCAGGGCTTATTCCTGGCTCTCCTCAAGGATCACTGCAGGAGGCTTTGGGATACCCTGTGTGTGCTGCGGATCACACCCAGGCTGGCTGTATGCAAGGTCCGTGCCCTCCCGTTCTACCGTTCTACCGTCCTCCAGCCCGACTGCTGAATCTTGCTGTGTTTCTTCCCAGAGGGGTGCCGACTGCATGAGGTCAGAGCTGCCTGACAGCTCCCCGTTTCCTTGTCCCTGACATTCCTCATGTCTTTTATGCCTCAGCACAACGTGCTTTATAAATCTGGCCCCAGTCACTTGGTTCCGGGTTCTCTGAACATGTGTCCATTGGCAGTGGCCGCCAAGTCCTCCTTCACTGCAGCCTGCTCACTGTTCTGGAACAAAATGCACTGAGAACAGGCAGGAATGACTTTCCCAGGAGGCGCCTGGCCAGACAGGGGTCCCCCGACCCGATTCTTGAGGAGCTCTGGGAGGAGGGTCAGCCCTCTTCCTCCAGTCCTTGCCTGGGCCAAAAACTGGCCTCATACTTGGCAGCTAAACCCAGAAACCTTGACCGCCAGTACCATCCCTTTAGGCTCCTCTCCAACCAAGGTGGGAGTACAGGGCCACTGCAGCCACCCTTGCTGGGCTGTGCAGCCTGGACACTCACTGCTCAGGTCAGAAGTGCAGCTTTGGCCCTGTAGTGTGGGGGCCACCAGGCCAAACCCACTGGTGCTAGAGGTCAACGTCAGGGTGTCCAGCCCTGACTCCTAGAATATTTTCAATTTAACTGAAAAACTTTAATGCTTTTCTGGTTCCACCTGACTGTGCTCAGGACTTGCTCCTGCCTGGGCTCGGATCATTCCTGGCAGACTCAAGGGACCTGGGGATCAAACCCAGCTTGGCTGCGTGCAAGGCAAGTACCACACCTCCTGTGCTATCTCTCTGGCTCTAATTGAAAAAAAAAATGTGTAACTGAATTTTTCAGAGCCAGAGATAAAACAGCGAAAATAGGTGCTTGCCCTGCATGCCGCTGACCTGGGTTCCATCCCCAGCATCCCATATGGTCCCCTGAGCAGTGCCAGGAGAGACTCCTGAGTACAGAGCCAGGAGTAACCCCTGAGCATCGCTGGGTGTGGCCCCATAACAAAGTAAATATCAAATCCCTTTACAGGATTGAAGCTTGCCACAGCAATGTGGTGACTGGAATTTGGGGGAATGCTTGAGTGGAAAGGGAAGAGCTCATAGGACAGTGCTCTCAGCAGTACAACACTTCATGGCCTCACAGCTGCTGGGCAGGCAGCTTCCTTGCCAAATGACTGCACTTTGCACCACTGGACTCCCAGCACTGTCCCTTAGATTCCAAAGGCTTGCGGGGGGGGCGGGGGAGGGAGTTTGGGGGGCACAACAGCAGTGCTCAAGGACTGAATCGGGGTCAGTTCGTTCAAGTTCCCTACCTGCTGTGCTCTTCCTCAGATCCCCAATACCCATTTCTTAATCAAGAAAATAGGGCATGGGGGCTGGAACAATAGCACAGCAGGTAGGGCGTTTGCCTTGCACACGGCCGACCCGGGTTCAATTCCCAGCATCCCATATGGTCCCCTGAGCACTGCCAGGGGTAATTCCTGAGTGCAGAGCCAGGAGTGACCCCTGTGCATCGCTGGGTATGACCCAAAAAGACAAAAAATAATAGGGCATGGGTATGAGCCAGTGATAGCACAGGGGGGTGGGCACTTGCGTTGCATGTGACCGACCTAGGATCAATCCCTGGCATCCTATATGGCCCTGAGACCACCAGGAGTTATTCCTGAATACAGAGCTGGGAATAATCCCTGAGCATCACTGGGTGCCCCGCCCCCCGCCCCAAAAAAAGAAACTATGGTGCAGGGTCAGGGGAGGTGGTTGGAAGGAACTGAGTGCATGGCTCAGAATGACCCTGGGTTGGGTGACCCGCAGCGCAGCCAAGGGGGAACTGCCCAGAAGGGAGCGAGCACTGTTCTGTGCTGCATTGCTGCAGAGCCCCCCAAACCCAATATAGCATAAAAGTCACACCCCACCCCCTCTAGCTAACTCACCGGTCCTGGCAATACTCACGGGCCACAGCCTGAGTGGCAAAAATGGCAGCACCGGATGCTCTGGCTAACAGCCTCTGGGGGTTCTTCTTCAAGGGACCCTGCTCCCTAACTGACCACAGCTGCCCAGTGTCCCGTACGGACACCGCCTGGCTGCCCAGTGCTCCACTATGGGCGACTTTCTGGATTTTCACTTGAATAACCGCTGAGCCTACGTGGGTGAATACCTGAGTGTCCGTGAGGAGCGCACAGGCCCCTGCTCTGGGCAAACTGGGCGGGCTGGACTGTGGAGCAGCACGGCTCGAACCCGGACACTGCACAGACCTGCCCGTCAAGCCCACCAAACTGTTTAGAAAAAAATTTATTTGCCGTAAGGAAAGTCTAGAGACCCCAATAAAATGGAGAAGCTCCTTTCCTGGAGGTGGAGTCACCCCCCAGGCCTCTGGCTGGCTGGAGCCCCTGAGAGCCGCGGCTGGGGCGGGGGGCGCTGCGCCCTCCTCTGCACCCAGCGCTTGTGTCTACCAACACCGCGGCGGGGCTCCCCTCTCCCTTCCATCCCTTCTGGACCTCGCGGGTGGGCCAGGCTGGGTCGGGGTCTGTGCGGGTCTGTGCCGGGCAGGTTGCCGCTGTCTCTTCTCTGCACAAGCCCGCTGAGCCTTAGCGGATGGGCCGGAATGGGAAGGTCATGCCCGAGAGAAAGGCGTGTCCTGGGTGCGAGGGCAGCGCCGGGTGCGCTGCAGGGTGCGCCGGCACCGTCCCGTAGCCCAGCGGCGGCGTGTGGATATGTGGGTAGAATCCAGGGGGCAGCGCCGTGTGGGGGGACTGCTGCACTGGTCCCGAGATCACCAGCTGGAGGAGGCTGTGAACACAAGGACACAGGTCAGGGCCTGGCCACTGGGCTGGGGTTTCCCTGTCCACGGTGGAACCCTCTGGTGAGAAAATTCAAGGGGAGGAGGGGTGGCGCCCCATGTATCAGGGGCAGCCCGGGGGCTCTGGTGGGGGCCCTTGGAGCAGGGGATAAGGCCGGGAACTGCAGGGACCCCATCTCTACTGCCCACCCGAACTGCCCGAGGCCCCAAGCCAGGCTCTCCCAGATGCTGGCCTCTCAGTGACCCTGACCCAGAGGCTGCACTGACCCCCCACTCTCCCAGGCCTCGCCTGTCCTGTGTCCCCTCTCACGCGGGTCCTGGAGTGCCCCAGAGCCTCACTGCTCCCCAACACTGCCACAGTGGTGGGGGAGGGGTGCTCCGAGGCTTCCGCCTGCAGGTTACAGAAGTTTCTGGTCCCACCCAGCCTGTCCCCAGAGCACTCCGTGGACACTGCCTGCCTGGCCCAGTGACGCCCCAGATGCCTCTTCCTCCTGGGTAGCCCCTGAGCACTGCGGAGCAGCCCCCGGGCACTGCTCTCCTGTAAGCAGTGGGCAAGAAAGCTCAACGCTGCCCGAGGGGCTAGGACAGGAGAACAGGGTCACAGGGGCCCGCATCCTGCCACACCTGAGAAGGCCCTGCTCTGGGTGCGACATCAGAACACCGGGGCCACTGATGGCACAGCAGCTCCATGGCAGGATATGGGCCTGGGCCGGATCCTGGGACTGTACAGACACACACAGACACACAAACACACCCTCATCTGCTGGGAAACGGCCTCCTTGGCTTTCTGGAGGGAACTGAGGCAGCTGTGGGCAGTGAGGCCTTTCCCCAAGGTTGCCCTTGCTCCGAACAACCAGGCCAGCAGCCACCAGCTTCTCCACCACCGCTCACGAGGGTGCTGCAACTCCACTCATGGAGCACCCCCACGCCAAGCCCGAGACCACTGGCCCCACTTTACAGGGGGACACTGAGGCCAAGAGATGTCCAGCCATCATAGCAGGCCATGGGCAGAGCCGAATTCAGAGTCTGCAGCCAAGGCACAACCGAACCAGCCCCGGCCATAGCTCGGCTCCAAACCAGTACTAGGGCCAGGGTCTGGCTCCGTCCAGCACCGGAGCTGGGGTCTGACTCTGCAGTGCTGCAGCCTGGGGTAAGCTCCACACCGACACTGACCCAGCTCATGAGCCCTCCCACCACGACTCCCAGAGGCCCATTCCACCGGGGGGATGTGCCCCCTGCCCCGCACACAGGCCAAGGACACTCACTTGTTGTGGGGTAGCCTGGAGCACAGGGTCCTCAGGTCATCTGCAAAGGAGAAGGTGACAAGGGACAGATGGAGCGGCCTCTGCGTCACCAGCGGGGCAGGAACGTTCTGCCCACACATCCCCCGCACCATGAAAAGAGACCTAGTGACCGAGGCCGCACAGAACGTGGCACTCAGGAAGGCGGGCAACTATGGCCCCCTGCTCCTGGGCACAACACGGCGGGGGGGGGGGGGGTGCCCAGGGGGAAGGCAGGTTGCCCACACCAAGTCATTCCCTGGCGACAGCACCAGCTTGGGGACACAAAAGCCAGAGGCGGCGGTCAGCAGGCCCGTGAGTCACGGTATCGAAACTCACAGACCTTGACACCTGCCTCTGTGCACTAGCTCAGGACTCAAGAGCTAGTGCTCAGCCCAGAACAGGGAGTCCCGGGTGACCACCTGAGGAAAGGACAGAAGCCACAGTGCAAACCTGTCGTACCTGGGATGCTCCCCCTCCCCACTCCTGTTACTGCTGTGAGCAAATATGTGAGGACCAGAGAGATGGAGCAGCAGGTGGAGCGCTGGCCTCGAGCGCTCTGACCCTGGTTCCATCCCCAGCCCCCCAGAGTGTTTCCCAGGTCCCGCCAAGAGTGAGATCCCCGAGCACAGAGCCAGGAGTCGGCCTTGAGCAAGCTCCGTGGAGCCACACTTTCCCGTCCCCGCGTCACCCACCTCTCGTGCACAGCAGGGCCCCCGAGGCCATGGCCACCTGTAGGGCCTGCGCCAGGCGATCGAGCGCGAGCTCGATCTCCTGGGAGGCATTGAGGGGGTTCAGCTCATCTGCCAGCCGGTTGACCTCCTCCACCAGCGGCACCATGTGGTCGAAGGGGACCAGCCCCAGGCGCCCGTACAGGTTCTTCTCAGTCAGGTGCGCCTGCAGCATCATGAGGCCGTGCAGGACGCTCAGGTGCAGTTTGGAGTACAGGAGGTGCGAGTCTCTGTCCGGCCCCGCAGACTCCTTGGCAGCCTTGGTGCTGGCGTGGCCGTTGGACACGGGGGCCTTCCTCTTTCTCTTGTACGCCAGGGGTGCCTTCACGCACCAGCGGATCAAGCCCGTGAGCGGCGTCAGCTCCAGGAAGCCGATGGGGAGGCTGGCCGCGATGGGGGTGTTTAAAAAGGTGATGAGGGTCAGCCGGGGGTCTTCGAAAATCCAGCTCACGGTCACTTCAAGCAAGTCCAAGGGCGGGACGAGGTCATCTGCAGACAAGAGACAGAGACCAGCTGCAGTGAGAAGGGTCCCTGGGTGCATGCGGGACCCATCCCCTCTTCGGGACTGTGACCTGGGTACCAGAGCCGTCTGGCACAATGCAGGCAGTGGAGCCGAGACAAGTACTGCAAATCCCAGCCCGGACACTGTGTTTCGAGCACTGTGCACTGAGCAGGGACCAACCACTAAACTCTCAGACCTGGCCCCCAGAGCAAGGCTGGGTGGGGGACAGCTCCTGTACCAACCGGAGCTGTCTGCCAACCCGTCCTCCACTCACCTGCCTGCCTTCACTCGGCCCAGTGGCGGTGGGCCATCTGGGAGGGCCTTTTCCCTTTTGGCACTTTGCAGGATGCTGGCCCCCAGGCCTGCGACCCCATTCCCAGAACCATCTGGAAGCAGAGCCAGTCTCAGCAGCTCAGTCCACATGGGCCACTGCAAAGACCCCAGGGCTTGGGACACTCTGGTTTGGTGTGGGGCTTAATAACAAAGCATGTTTAAAAAAAAAAAAAAAAGGGAGCGATAGCACAATGGGTAGGGCATTTGCCTTGCACGCGGCCGACCCGGGTTCAATTCCCAACATCCCTTATGGTCCTCCAGGCACCGCCAGGGGATATATCCTGAGTGCATGAGCCAGGAGTAACTCCTGTGCATTGCTTGGTGTGACCAAAAAAATAAATAAATAAAAGCAAGGGAAAAAAAAAAAAAGAACAAAGCACATGGCTGGGCTGTACCAGGCCCTGGCTCCATCTCCAAAACCGCAGAGTCCAGAACACTGGGAAGCAGAGGCAGGGGGGCAGACTCAGGAGGAGCCTGCCTGTCCCCTCAAAGTGGGCAGCAGGGCCCCCTCAGCAGGAAGCCAGACCTCCGGGTCGGCGCCCCCGCAGCCTCAAGGGGTCCTGGAGCCCTTTCCGTGAAGAAGCCTGCAGTCAGCTGGCCAGGCGCGAGTCCCACACAGCCAAGGTGGCCCAGGCCCTTCTTTCTGGTACATGGTGATGGGAGTCCTGGCAGCTGTGTGGCACAAATGACACTTGGTGTTCAATTCTCCTGACACCCTCCCCGATGGGAAGCAGAGAGCTGTTGTGAGACCCCGTGGGAGACGGCAGGGTGTCTGCAAGGACCCATCTTGCACGCGCCAGAAGCGTCTTTAGAGACGTGTGCTCGGTGCGGGGGTGCAGGGTGGCAGCAGACTGCTCAGGATAATGATGTTTATTTTTTTTGGAGGGGGGGGCCTCCAGGAGGAACTAGGGCATGTCTCAGTCGTGCTCAGTCTGCAGCAGTTCAGTGCAAGGGCCTACAATGCGGTATGGCTCATGCCCCGCAGTTCTGGGGGAACAAACCCAGGCGGGCGGGCAGCCAGGCAAGGCCCTTAACCCTGCCCTCTCTCCAGCCCCAGAAAAGAGCTTTTTGTGAGTGTGTACTAGGGCGGAGGAATAATCAGCTGATGGTAGGAAGTGAAGGCTTGGATGCTTTTGGGTCGGAGCTATGCACACGGCCCCTGGCGCTTGGCTGCGGGCACCACTGGCAGCTGTGGGGTAGCGGCCCCCTCCCCTCCCAGCACAGCTGGGGTGGCACACCAAAGCATGGGGCGGCCAGAGCAACAGGATCACAGGTGGGCACTGGCCTTGCACGCAGCCCACCTGGACTCCATCCTGGAAATCCCACATGGCCCCCGAGCACTGCCAGGAGTGATCCTGCGTACAGAGCCGGGGTAACCCTGAGCACTGCTGGCTGTGCTCCTCTCCCCTCTCCCTCTGCAAAAAAATAAAAATCACAGGAATCAGTAAGTGCCAACGAGGGTCTGGGAGCCGCGGCTCGGTGTGTGGCCACGGTAGCTCTGGGCTTGTTCTGAGTGAGACATGAGGATGAAAAGTCAACCGGGGATTTGGGGGGGTGGCAAGCTGCAGCTCGAGCAGAGAGCACAGCCCACCTTTCATCTCTGGGCCCCCAGCACCGCCTCTAAAGCAAGAGAAAAGCAAGAGACAGCGGGAGCCTGCTAGTGCGCCCTCTGGAACAGGCCTTACCCGAGGACAGGTCGTAGAGAGCGGTGACGGCCGTGAGGAACTGGCAGCAGAAGCGCGGGCTGGCGCTGAGGATCTGCTTCAGCGTCTGCACAGAGCCGGGCACCAGGCAGCAGTAATCGTCCACCAGGGCCCGGGCCAGGCGCACACAGTAGAGCACGGGTGTCCGCTGCAAAGACACACAGGTACCTGAGGCGGGCAGCAGCCAGTCCTGGCCAGTGTCCACTGCAGGTCCCCCGTGCAGGCAGAGAAGACAGCGACTTTGTGCAGTGGCTGACAAAGCCTCCAAGGCAGCCAGCACCACCACCTGTCCCTGTGTGGCTTCCTGGTGGGACCACAGCCAAGCCGGGGAGGACCCACACAGCAAGGCCGTTCCTTCTGCCCCGCCCCGTCAGTCCCGGTTCCGGTTCTGTTCTGGTTTGGGGGCACACAGGTGGCGCTCAGGGCTCACTCAGCTCATTCCTGGCTCTGCACTTAGGGATGGAGGGATGTGGAGCGCACCCGCCCCGCTATGCTGTCGCTCCCTGGCTCACTTTGTAATCTCCCAAATCCCCCTTGTCACCCTCTCTACCAGGGTGCCCCAGGCAGAGGTCAGGACCCCCAGCAATGGAGGCGCTGCAGCTCCAGCGCCCCTTGGGGCTGTCAGGGGAACTGCAGGCTGACACCCCAGCTAGCACTTACCCCACCCTCGCCCACAAGAAGCTGCCTGGGGGGGGGCCCAAGGGGCACATGGAGAGCTGTAAGATGAACTAGTCTCTAAACCTGACTTTCCTACGAGGTCAAGGTCAACAACGAACACCCCCCTCCCGCAGAGAATCAGCCCACAAGCGGTGGGGATGCTGTAGCTCCAGACCCCCACAGGGCAGCTGGGCAAACCCAGGCTGATGTAATTCAGGCACCTGAATTTTGTCCAGATGCTCACCTGGTGACACAGACTACAACATACATTGTAGAGGCTGAGGGAGGGCAGGGGAGAGCACTGAGCCAAGAGTAGCTCCTCAACATCGCTGAGGGTGCCCCCCACCCCGTCAATACTGCTAGCTACAAGTTTACGATATTATAGGAACATTTAACCAAGTTTAAAAATTTTCATTTCATTTCAAACCCTAGTAAAGGAAGCAGTCTTACAAAACTAAATGTCAATAGTTAACTTAAAAATTAACACCAGGGTGAGAGTACATTGGGTAGGGAGCTTGCCTTGCACACAGTCGACCCGGGTTCGATCCCCGGCATCCCAAATGGTCCCCCGAGTGCCGCCAGGAGTAATTTCTGAGTGCAGGGCCAGGAGTAACCCCTGTGCAGCGCCGGGTGTGACCCAAAAAGAAAAACAAAAAAATTAATGCACGGGGCCTGAGTGATAGTACAATGGGTAGGGCACTCGCCCTGCATGCAGGCAACCCATGTTCGATCCCCAGGACCCCATATGGTCCCCCAAGCCCACAAGAGTAATCCCTGAGCACTGCTGGGGTGGGCCAAAAATAACAAACTACAAAAAATATTAAAGCAAATCTCTGAGTTACCGCCTACGTGAATTCTCAAAGACACTGAGGAACAAAAACAACGGATTTCCCAAAATGCCCTCTCTGAAGAATCCATATAGCAAATGTCAGTTGTTTGGACTTTATCATTTGAATAAAGTTTAGGCTTTTGTTTTGTTTGCCACACCTGCTGGTGCTCAGAACTGCCAGTGCCCGTCCCTCTACTGTACTGGGGACGATTTGCTGCCGGGGATCAAACCTGGGTTCAGCAGACAGAGCCTGTGGACCAGCACTTTTTTGGGTTTGAGGGTCACACTCAGCAATACTCAGGGGTTACTCCTGGAAGTGTTTGGGAGCCATATGGGATGCTCAGGATCGAATCTGGGTCAGCCACGTGTAAGGCAAGCACCGACCCACTGTACTTGGCTCTGGACTCAGGACCAGCACTTTAAACTAGCTCCCTGGCCCCAAAGAGCCATTTTCCCCTTGGACACTGGACAGCTCACAGCCACCACGAGAGCCAGTAACTTTCCAGCATTCTCTGGAACAAAGCAAAGAATCGTGTACTCACCACCCTAGCCGGGAATGGGCAAACAAGTAGCTCACTGACAGTGCTCTCTTCCTCTATTTGATTTGGGGGTACAGCTGCTGGTGCTGGGACCCCTGGCAGAACCCGGGATGACCAAGGGTCCTGCATATGATAAGTTTTATTACATACTCTCCACCCCTCCATACTTCTCTGCCTCTGACAATGGCCTTTGATATCCTAACTTTAGGGGCTAAAGAGAGGTAAGGTGTTTGCCTTACGTGCAGTCACCCCGGGTTTGATCCCTGGCACCCCTGAAACTGACCAAGAGTGACCTCTGAGCACCGCAGGGTGTGACACCAAAACAAAACAAAAAAATATCCTAACTTTAGCAGAGGGCCGTGGTTCAAGCAGTAAGTAGGGGCTGAGCAAATTACCAAGCACTATGAGTCTGATGGCCCTGACCAGCCACTGAGCACCGCCCTGTGGCCCCTGATGGCACCGCTGGGAGTGCCCTTATTGAAACAAAAAGTGACATGCTAGTTTCCCCCATGCAGCTGTTTCCACAACGTCTTGGATCTCAACAGGGACGCTCAGCTTGGGGGTCTTTTCGCGGTTTCTCTGGCAATTTAGGAACCACGAGAAGTAGTTGCTTGCAGGAGGGACCGCCAGACCCACCGCCGGACCCGCGGAACGGCCGGCGGGGACGCGAAGGGCGGGGGGGGGGGGACGGACGGGACGGGACGGGTGGACAAGGCGACGGAAGGGCACGCGGCAGTTCGGGGCAGTACCTGGAGCCAGGAGGCCGCACACTCCAGCACGGGGACCCGGCACACGGCCACCGCCATGGACACCAGCTTTCCCAGCAGGCTCATGCGGCTGTCGTCGGCTTTGTTCCCCTGAGGGCTGAAAAGGGACGAGAAAACAATCTGCCGGACAGAGTCCTTGCTTTGCTCCTGGAAATAATTGCACATGATTTCAAGAAGTTGGAGCTCCTGGAGCGAATTCAATCTCTGGAAGACAAACGCGGGGAGGCGGTCAGACGGGAGCTCGGCTTCCACGTGCTCGTGGGACGTCCGGCCGCCCCCCTCCGGGGGCCGCCGCGCCCCCCGCCCCGCCGCGGGGGCTGCGTGCGCTAGGGGGGCGCTCGGCGGGGGGGGGGGCGCGCGGCTGCCAGGCGTGCGGGGCGCCCGCCGCACCTTGGGCTGCGCGCCGCGCTCCTTGGGCACCTGGAACACGAACTCCTCGAGCAGCTCCACGGGGCCCTTGTCCACGAGCGGCAGCGGCGCGCTCTGCAGCTGGCTGCTGAAGAAGATGTCCAGGTGGTACAGCACCTCCTTGGCCGCGCTCAGCGCGTCGCGCCGCAGCAGCGAGTGGCGGATGTCGCTCATGGCGCGGCCCCTCCCGCCCGCGCCGCCGCCGCCGCCGCCGCCGCCCGCACAAAGACGCTGCGGCCCGGCCCCGGCCGCCGCGCCCCGCGCCCCCCGCGCCGGCCCGAGGCCACCCCCGCTGCGACGGCGGCGCCCCCCGACAGCCCCGGCAGCCGGCGCCGCGGAGCGGAACCGCGGCCGAACCCGAGCGCGCGACGGCGGCCCGCAGGGGCCAAGCGCCGGCCGAGCCCGCCGCCCGGGAGGGCGCCCCCTGGCGGCCCGTGGGAGGGGGCGCGCCCCGCTCCCCGCCGCGAGACTCCGCCCCGCTTCCCTCGGCCCCGCCCGCGCCCGCCGCGAGACTCCACCCCGCCCCTCCCCCCCTCTCCCGGGCCCCACCCGCTCCGCGTCTGCACCCCCTATCCTTCCAGGAACCGGCCCGCCCTCGGGCCCGGCGCCCGTCAAGCTGTAAGGGTTTACTGAGGGATATTCATTCATCTTCTAGAAAAATACTTTATTCAATCAACTTGAGATAGATAGTTACAAAGTTGCCCATGATCAGGTTTCGGTAGGACAATGTTCCCACACCCGTCGCGGTGGGAATTTTAAATAAGGCCGCAAAGGCTCAGGGAGGGCCACGGGAGGGCAGCGTCTGGGCAGGCCCAGGTGTGCACGAGTGGGGCCCCAGCCTCCCCCTCCCGCCCAGGGAGCCACGGAGGGGGGGCAGCGGGCAGCTTCCTACTATACCAACCGCGGGGCTTGGCTAACCTGTTTCCTTCCATTTAACCACCGAGAGTACATTCCAAACCACCCGGCGGAGGGGCTTGCCTGGCCGTGTCCCACCGGGTTTCCATCTTCAGCATTCCGTATGGCTCTCACGGCACGGCAGGTGTAATCTCTGAAAAGCCAGGTATAAACCCTAAACACTGAGCTGTGTGTTCCCAAAACTGAAGGGGATAAAAAACAAAACACCCTACAGAAAAGAGAAAAACAAAGCCCAGGACAAAGCAAGCAGGGTGAAGACAGTGAGCGACCCTGAGTAGGAATAAATGCATGCGCTCACAACTTAAAGACCACGCTCTCTTATTTCTTCTTCCTCCCCAGAAGCACGGGAGCCGGTAGAAAGATCTCACCAAGGTTGCTCCAAAGCCCGCGGGAGTAAAAGTTCTGGGAGCCCTGGGACTTGGTGGGTGGGGGCTGGCCCATGTGGGCGTGATGCTGGCACCAGGTCCGGTGGCCTTTGTACCACTCGTTAGTGGTCTGGTTGGTGGCTGCCAGGTACAGCATGAAGCACAGGTAACCCCCCAGCAGGAAGCTGAGCACCAGGACAAAGCCCAGCATGAAGACGATCCTTGGGAAGGACAGGAACAGGTGCTGCGGGCAGGAGTGAGACAACACTGAGACACCCCTGACACACACAGTTCCCCCCCGCCCCCCCGGCATACCTCCTCTTTCTTCAAACACAAGTTATCTATGTAGGGAAGAAGTATGATGCTGGGGCCAGGAGAGAGCACAATGGTTAGGGCACACGCCCAGTCTGGTCGACCCAGATTTGATTCATGGTATCACACATTTACCTCTATGTATCTGAAGGCCACAGCACTGGTGGCGTGGCCCAGGCAATGTGCAGGGTCTGGGAACTAAACAGCCACTCCAGGGCTTCCTGAGCACCACTGGGGCCCCCTCACCCACATCCCAAAACAAGTAGCATGATGTGTCCCAATAAGGTTCTAATAATGCACAAAATCGCATAGACAAAAAAGTATGCAAAGGTCAGCAACTCTGACATCTAAGTGGAAGGTTTACGGGTACTTGTTTTCTTAACTTCTGGGGCATGTTTGGAAATTTTCATAATTGGGGGGTTTCATACACTGGGGTTCAGGAAGACGATCAAGAGAGTGGAAATGCGGGCTCTGCACGACACAGCTCCAGGTGTGATCCGGGCACCGTGGAGGGCCAGGGTGGGGGGGGGTGAGGGGGGGGACAGCTGCTCTTGCATATCAGTTTCTTTGGGGTAATGGGGTATTTTTTTTTGTTTTGCTTTTTGGGTCACACCTGGCAATGCACAGGGGTTACTCCTGGCTCTGCATTCAGGAATCACCCCTAGAAGTGCTCAGGGGACCATATGGGATACTGGGAATCAAACCCGGGTCGGTCGCCTGCAGGGCAAACACCCTACCCTCTGTGCTATCGCTCCAGCCCCACAATTGGGGATTCTGAAACTAGATAATACTGGTGGTCCTAGCTGTCACTAAGAGCCATCCCTGAGCACCGCCAGACGCAGCTCAAAAACCACATAAGAATTATATATAATTGGGAGGGGGGTCTGGAACCACACCCGGCTCTCTCGGGACTTACACCTGGCTCAGGGATCACTCCTGGTGGACCTTAGGGCGACCATATGTGGGGCTGGGTCAGCTGTGTTCAAGGCAAATGCCCTGCCCACTGTACTATCTCTCCAGTTATATAAAAGGTAAAGGCCCTCCCATTGTTCGTCGATTTGCTCGAGTGGGCCCAGTAACGTCTCCATTGGAGACTTTGTTTTTACTGTGTTTGGCATATCGAATACGTCACGGGGAGCTTGCCAGGCTCTGCCGTGCGGGCGAGATACTCTCGGTAGCTTGCCGGGCTCTCCGAGAGGGGTGGAGGAATCGAACTCGGGTCGACCATGTTAGCTGCGTGCAAGGCAAACGCCCTACCGCTGTGCTATCGCTCCAGCCCCTTCCAGCTATATAAAATTTTTAAATTGCACATCAGTATTTTTTTTTAAGTCGTCGTCTCACAATCTCACTGGGAAAACAGACCCTCTTTTGTTCAATTTGGGAAGTGACTTTTGAGGACTGAATGAGAAACGCAGACCGCACCATGTCACCCTCCCAGTCACCTGAGCAAGAAAGATGACGTCGATGACCTGGACGCGTCCGTGGGCATCAATGTAGGTCCCTGAGTACAAGTCGGCTGCCACCACCAGATGGCCCAGGAAGACAGTGCTCACCACAGCCAAGGCCACAGCGGACGCTGTGAGTGTGCAAAGGTACACGAGGAAATGCCTGATGTTCCAGGCCCCGATGCAGTTGTTCACCCAGATGCAGTGATGGTCAAACCGGTGCACACAGCAGTCACAGACACCTGACACACAAGGAAGCATAAGCCGCGCTACGGCCCTGCGAGGATGGTGGCATGCAGCAGTGACCATGCTGGTGACCGTGCTGGTGACTGTGCTTTCGGCACCCGCACGGGGAGCTCAGGAAGCGTGGCTGCAAGAACAGCCAAGAGGAGACACCTCTTGGACAGAGAGGTGCAGACACCTGGACTCAACCTCCGAGACACGGAAGTGACACATGAGTCACTTACGCGTCGGAAGATGTATGAGCTTTAAAGTCAGACCAACTCTTCTAACAGAGATGAGCTTTAGGCCCAGGACAGAGTACTGGGGAATGCACGCGCCTTGGGGGCAGCCAAGCCCCGTTTGCTCCCTACTACCACAGGGTCACATGAATACTGTAACAGGCAGGGCCAGGCAGCCAGATCTGAGAGGCAGCTCTGGCCGGAGGAGCCCCCAAGTCTCCTGAGCACTGTTTGGGAGGAGAACCCTGAACTTTATATTAAGGTGAGTGTTAAAGGAATATGAGTTTTTGGTACTTGCTTCAGTTACGGAGAAACATTAAGAAATGTCAGGGCATGGGGCTGGAGCGATAGCTCAGTGGGTAGGGCATTTGCCTTGCACACGGCCGACCGGGGTTCAATTCCCAGAATCCCATATGGTCCCCTGAGCACTGCTAGGAGTAATTCCTGAGTGCAGAGCCAGGAGTAACTCCTGTGCATTGCCGGGTGTGACCCAAAAACAAAACAAAAAAAAGTCAGGACTGAAGGCCAGCGGTGTGGATGTGGCGCAGTGGCAGAGCACTTGTCAGAAGACTTGCCTGCACGGGCGAAGTCCTGGGTTCGAGCTCTAGCTACACACGCGCAAATGTCTGTAATATGCTGGATTATGACAGTCCACCTTTCTGATTGTGAATTTTATAAAATGTGAACATGTACAATGAAACTTTAGTGTCTGAATTAAATGTACAATAAAGGTCAGATCTGGAAGACTCAGTAACAACCAAGAGTAGTAAGCTATCCCCTGAGTGACTTGCTGATACTGATTATTTACGTGTATCAGGTTTAAAAAAAAATACATAATCTAAAGTAATTTTTTCTTTGCTTCTGGGACCACCCCCAGCGGTGCTCCAGGCTGACTCCTGGCTCTGTGCTCAGGGATCACACCTGGTGCGACTCGGGGGACCTTCCGTGATGCTGGGGATGGAACTGGGCTCAGCCCTGTCTGAGGAAGCAGCTTCACCCTGTCCGATCACGAATGTTTCTTTGGACTTTTGTAAAGTGGTTTCTAGAACACTCAGCTCCCATCTGCAGCTCCGGCCATGTGTTGCTGGACATTCTAGGTGAGTCCTGGCCACCCCCACAAGAGTGGACAAGCATACCATCTGCAGACACCCCTAGACTCGTGCCCAGCCACTGCCCAGGGCAGACGGTCCCTTCTCCAAGCACCCAAGTCCTGACCTTCAGAGACCATGTGCAGCCCCCAGCAGCCTCGGACACCCCATTGTGTGGGGGTCAGCAGGCCCGTGGACAAGCCAGGGCCACACTCACTGCAGTGCTTGGAGCGCGCTGGTCTCCGGAGGTCACACGTGGAACACCTGGCATTCCTGGAGAACATCACTCCGTCAAACTCATAAACTTGAAGAAACTGGGATTCATTTGCTTTGGTGACAGTCCCTGGAATGAAGGGACTGTGTTAGTGTGATGCCATCTGTCTGGCCACACTTGCGTCCTGAGATGGTGGCTGTCACCATGTGGGCCGCCTGGTCGCTTGCAAAACCCAGAGTGCCACATCGCTTGGTATATTTCACAGAATTGTCCAAAACACAAAACACCAACCCCATTTCTCTTGAACCCCCAATCTACCCTCTGTCACTAAGGATGGGCCTTTTCTGGCTAGTCTAGAAATGCCACCACGCAAGAATGGTGTCTGCATGCAGGCTCTTTGACTCAATCTGCTCCAGATCCATCCATGTAAAAACCTTATTTCCTCCCTATACCAAATAATCTTCCACTGAAAAGGTAAACCTGTGCATTATTTGCTGCGTTATCTACGTACATATATATTTATCTAGTCAAGCAGAGTCCACTGTCTGGCTCTGCACAGGATCTCCTGAGGCCCCCAGGGCTGACCTGAGCCAGGAGTAGGTCCTGAGCACCACTGGATGTGGCCCCCAAACCCAAAACAACAACAAAAAGGAAAGACAGGAGACCAGAAGGCACTGGTGGAAGCACATAAAGCCCGCACCCATGTGGGCAGTCCGTTGGGACCCTCCCTGGCCCATGGGGACACTCCCAGTGCAGCTGTCAGACAGGACTCACCGGGGTTGCTCACACAAGTTAAGGTGAAAAAAACCAAGTTGACGCTCAGCAGCAGATACGGCAGAAGAAGGTAATACACGGAGAAGCCCAGCTCCAGACAGTAGCCCAGGACCTCCCAGGAGTACTCAGTGTAAACAGTCCCCTGGAGGAGGAGGTGCAGGACGAGGAAACTGCAGTTCCTGAAACGCAACGGGCACGGGATTATACAAAGGGCGCTCCAGAGGACACATGTCCTCTGCCCGTCAGGATTTGAAGGGTTCTGCTTAAGAGGAGATATGCCAAGGGCCTGGAGAGATGATACAGGGCTTCGGGTGCCTGTCTTGGGGTTGAGAGATTGTACAGAGGGTAGGGCACTCGCCTTGCATGTGCAGACCCAGGTTCGATCCCTAATACTTTATATGGTTCCCCTGAACCCCACCAAGAGGGACCCCTGAGCAGCAAGGGGTGCAGGTCAAAACCAGGAACAAAGCAGGGCAGATTGTCCTCAAGATGCTGATCCTGGTTCTGTCTCAATCCCTGGCACCCACTGGGTTCCCCCAAGTCCCTCCAGGGTTGATACCTGAGCACAGAGTCAGGAGTAATCACCGAGCACATCCAGATATGACCCCAATGCCCCCAAACAATAGGAGACATTCCAGCAAGGACAGGAGTGGAGGGGGAGGGGTCCCTGAGACTTTGGAGGTTCAGTAACTTTGTACAGTAAAGACACTGATACAATGCTAGTGTCATTCATGTCACCTCAAACACAGTAAGAGGTGACATCAAGACTCCAGAGCTAAAAGGAGGATGATCTAAGCTCTCAGTCTCCGCTTCCATCCTCTCCCCACCCAAGGTCAGAGGGTGTAAATAGGAATGCGCGGGAGAGGGGCCCAGCGGGACAGCACACACTTTGCGCAGGCCGGGGGACCAGGCCCCATCCTAGGCACTGCACACAAAACCGATAGCTACTGTTGGGAAGGAAGGCAGGTGCCCTCTGAGTTGGGGACATAAGTACCGTGTGTGGAAGAGGTAATGGAGGGACCTCAGCACAGCTCTCTGCAGGAATCCTGGAACCAGGTGAGAAAACATCTGCAACAGAGAGATTCAGAACTGTCCCCTCCGCCCCTGCCACATGGACCCAGCGCCTCTGGCTCACTGTGCAACACTAAGGATAATGTGATGCATCATGAAATGGGGATACTAAGTGGCATTTCTGCAGCAGAGGAAATTCAACTGTTTGAGCAGAGTGGGGGTGGGGTCATACCCACCAGTGCTCAAGGGTGACTGGGTGGGGTTCCAAATCCAGGGCTCTCCAAGCACCCCATTACCTGGGTTCCTCTGCCCATCAGGCCGTTCAGGTACTGAGTTCTTAAGCCCAGGCAGATCAGAACACCGGTGACCAGCACCAACATCACGTAGAACAAGAAGAGAAACAGGAAGTCCATCCTGAGGCTACAAAAGAATAACACGAGGGGCTGGAGCAATAGTAAAGGGGGTAGGGCATTTGCCTTGCACGTGACCGACCCAGGTTTGATTCCCAGCATCCCATATGGTCCCCCGACCACCGCCAGGAGTAAGTCTTGAGTGCAGAACCAGTAGTAACCCCTGAGCATCACCAGGTGTGACCCAAAGAGCAGAAAAAGAAGAACACATTAGTGATGGCTCCTGGGGCTTCTGCCCAGTGACTACCACTGACTGGATCTGGACTCTCAGACTCCCATGTGGTCCTCAGCACCCCCTCCCTTAAGTGCCCTAATCAAATAATTTGGAGTCTGGTTTGGGGCATGCCCTCCCTAAAAATTCTAAAACAGGGGAACATGCAACATCCACCTCTCCTCCTCGCAACAAGTTCTTCTTGTATCTCCTTTAAATATGAGCATTCATGGGCTGGGGCAATAATACAACTGGGAGGGCGTTTGCCTTGCATACAGCCGGTCTAGGTTTGATCCCAGCATCCCATATGGTCCCTGAGCTTGCCAGAAGTAATTCCTGAGAACAGAGCCGGGAGTAAGCCCTGAGCACTGCCGAATGAATGTGGACCCAAAACAAAATAATAATAAAAAACTAATATGAGCATTCACAAAGATGTGGATACAGACATTATCAAAAGGACGTTCCGGCAATGCAATTACCTAAAAGTTGTCCCAGGCAGCTTCTAAGGGGTAGTCAAGGACCCTCAGTCTGCAACTGGGCATAATGTACTATCCCCTCTGGGACAGTCACCACAGATAGCTATGATCACCCATAACATACCCTGTTTTTGTTTGCTTGCTTTTTCTTTTCTATTCAGGGCTGACTGTGCTCAGGGATCACTCCTGGTGATAATGTCTGTATCCACATCTTTTGGAGTGACTATGGTCTGCCACACTTAAGGCAAGTGCTCTAAACACTGCACTGTCTCTCCAGCCCTAATACACAGCCTGTGTTAAGAAAACTGGAAGGCTTAAGAGACAGCACAGCGGGTAGGGCGCCTATATGTGGCCAACCCGGGTTCTGGCCCATACGGTCCCCGAGCACAGCCAGGAGTGACTCCTGCGTGCACGGGCTGCAGAAACGACCGCCGGCTGCCGTCCAAACGCCAGAAAAAGAAAAGAGGAAACGGCTATTTGGGGCCCTGGCAGATCCGATCCTCGGTCTGAATGCCAAGTGCGACCACAACACCAGCCACGAGTCTAGAGATGAAGGCAGGGGAAAGAGCCGCAGTTCCCACGCGGAAATGGAGGGATCCCAGCCTAGAACCGCTCCCCTCTGGGCGGGAGCGCGGGGAGCGCAGCTCCTCCAGACGGTAGGGGGCGCGCGAGGCCGCAGAGGACACGCTGCGGGGCGGGCGGGAGGCCGAGGGTCCCGGGGTGGACTGAGCAAGCTGCGGGCCCGAGGCTGCAGTGTCCACGCTGGAGACTGGACCGAACCAGGGACCTCACCGAGGCGCGCGGAGCCGGCCGGAACTGCCCGGGGTCCGGCAGCGCTGGGCGGGGGATCGCAGAGCCGGCGGGTCGGCGGCGCGTCCACGAGCCCGCACGCCGCGCCCCGCGCCCCGCGCCCCGCACCCCGCGTCCCGGACCGCCGGCCCCCGTGACGTCACCGCCGCGCGCACTTCCGGCGGAAGCGGCGGGCGGGCCGGGCTCCGCGCGGAAGGCTGCGTGTCCCGCGGGTAACCCCCAGTGCAGCTTTCCGGGGTCCCGGCGGGCCCTGCGGTCCCCGGTGCACGCAGGGTCTCGCCCAGAGGGTCCCTGTTGGGGGGGTGCCGGGTTTGAGTCGCTTTGGAACTACCCAGCAGCTGACCGCGCGGTTAGCAGCCGCGCCACAGGGGTCTCCGCGCCCCCCGGGGCCCGGGTCAGCATCCCAAGTCCAGACCCCGAGAGGGGGTGGAGCGGGCGGCCTCCGGAGCGTCCAGACGGCCCCGAGGGGCGCGAGCTTGGCGCTGGCCGCTTCGCCTCCTCTTGATGTCTCTGAAGGCCGTTCCTGAGTTGAGCCAGGCCTGTCCCCGCTTTGAGGGGAAGCGTCAGATCTCCAAATACTGGCCTGAAAGCCCTTCTGTCTTCCGGTGTGCCTTTGTTCCCTGGCCCGGCCTCTAGATTTCGTCCTTTTAAAATGATAAAAAAAAAACCCTACTGGGCACCTCTGGTACACGCTGCCCGAGGCCTTGATGAATTTAAGGTCGCGGGATTGGGAACAAAACCCCAACACTGAGGATGTGATGCTGCAGGACTGGCGGTTATGGATGAGTCAGTTGGTGTCTGCAACTGAGTCGCCCCTGCTGAGCCCACCAGTGGTTATATATATTCAGTTAGCTTTCCTGCATTTTGGGGGGGGAGGGGAGAGTTTGCTAGGCGGATGTTGGGCTACATCTCAGGGCTCACTGCTGGCTCTGCTCAGGGATCACGGCTGGCAGAGCTTGGGGGACCCGTATGGTTCCAGTGGTGTAACAGTTTGTAAGCCAAGTGCTGTCTCCACCGTGCAGTGTCTTCAGCCAGTTGTTTTTGTTTGTTTCCTTGCCTTGAACTGCTGGCCCGGTTGGCTGAGAATTGGGAATGCCCCCCACTCAGGTTCCCTGAGCACCGTTTGGGAGGTCTCCTCCCCCCCAAAACTCCAAACACTGTTCAGGGAAACCCTCACACCTACAGGACAGATTTAGCCCAGGGTCACCGGCTTGACTCCTCTAAAATAACTTCGAGTTTTTGTAACTGGAGTGATAGTACAGCAGGCAGGACACTGGCCTTGCACACTGTCCACTCGGGTTAGATCTCCGGCACCCCACATGGTCCCTCAAGCCTGCCAGGAGTGATCCCTGAGCTCTGAGTCAGAAGGAAATCCTAAGCACTGCCAGGTGTAGCCCCAAAACAAACAAAAAAATCAAATCCTTAGATGACTGGACATTTAGGTGAAATGCGGCAATGGAGAGCCCTGCGTGGGCTGCACCGCACACAAGCAGGATTCTCCCAGGGCAGATGGGAATCTGCCTGGTTCCTATTGAGGGTGAACATCGTAGGTTTATTGACCAATTGTTTTTCTCGTTGCCATGAATTATTGGATTTTTTTGTTTTGTTGCTTTTGAATCACACCGACAATGCACAGGGGTTACTCCTGGCTCTGCAGTCAGGAATTACTCCTGGCGGTGCTCAGGGTACCATATGGGATGCTGGGAATCGAACCCGGGTCAGCCGTATGCAAGGCAAAGGCCCTACCCGCTATGCTATCGCTCCAGCCCCGGTTTTGTTTTTTGTTTTGTTTTCTTTTTGGGTTTTGGACCACAAGTCGTAGTAAGGGGGTTGGGGGGGGGCGGTTCTCTTTAGTAACCTGGAATTACTCCTAGCTCAGGACTCAGGAATTACTGCTGGCGGTGCTTGGGGACCCTATGGGATGCCAAGGATCAAACCTGGGTCTCCCACTTGCCAGGAACAAACACCCTCCCCACTGTGCCATGGCTCCAGCTCCTGCTGTGAATTGTTTCCAATCCTGTTTGTGGGTCACATGTACTGGTGCTGAGTTCTTCTAGCGAGGTCCTCGAGGACCCCCTGCTGGTACTCATATGTTGCTGGGGATCAAACCTGAACTCCCACAAGCACAACACATATTCTAGGGCTTTGAGTTACATCCCATTTTCATGTTGAGTTGCGAGACTTTGTTAAATAATCTGTGAGGGCACAGACTGCTTCTCTTAGTTTCAGTTCTCCCAAAAGCGACCCCCAAGACCCGGATTTGGTAGAGCACCCGGGGAAACCTGAGGGATTTAGGGAATGGGAGAAAAGAGTGAGAATCTGAGAAGGCTGTATTTTTGGCTTCATGGTGATTCTGTGCTTCCCAATACTGCTAGTGATTTCTCTAAGCACAGGTGGAATACAGGTTCTTGAGGGGTGGAGTTACCAGATCCAGAGGAAGGTCCCCCACTCACGCAAAGCTGAAACGAGAGCCCTGAGCTTCCTAGACAGTCTGGGTGGCCCCACAGACTAGACCTGTGCTTTCAGTTCTTAACCTGCTGCTAGATTGGTTGACAGCGTCAACTGCCTTTTATACCGAGATCACTCATTCCACAAGGACTGACAAGGGAACCGTTCGGAAACAGGATATAGAACTTCCTGTCAACCCATGCAACAGGCACACTGCACTCACTCAATGCTCCTCTACAGTCAGTGCTTCATGGGTCAGGAGGAATTTTGCAATAGAGAAGATGACGAAGCAATTTAGAAGACATGTAAAACTTTTATTGGCAGGTAAGATGAGATGTATATTTGCTGGCTCTTACCAGGAGCAGATAATTTAGTGCTCGGGTTCAAGCAGAAGCTCAGTAAAAAGAAAGTGGAGAAAGACTGGGGTTAACTCCAGGAGGAGGCACTCAGAGAGACCCAGCACTGTGGGTCACCTGATCATCAGGGATACCCTGGGTCCCAAACACAGTGGTGAGATCACTGCCACAGTGGAAATGTTGGGAGTGAGTGAAAGGAAAAGGCCAATGGATGTCTGAAGGAATACTGTTTTTGCTTGCTTGGTTTTGATTTTGTTTTTCGGCCACACCCAGCAGTGCGCAGGGAGTACTCCTGGCTCTGCACTCAAGGATCACTCCTGCTGGGGCTTGAGGGACCATATGGGATGCCAGGGATCGAACCAGGGTAACCTGCATGCAAGGCAAGCACCTTAACTCCTGTCCTATTTCTCTGGCCCACACATCTTGTATTTGCTAAGTGGAGATCCTACTTTAAGCCCCATTTTTTTTTGGCGGGGACGGGGTTCATTCTAGGCTATGTTCAGAATCTGCTCCTAGCTCTGCACTCAAGAATCACTCCTGCCAGGGCTATGGGGACCATATGGCATGCTGGGGATTGAACCCAGGTCAGTTTAGGCAAGGCAAGTACCTTACCCGTTGGACTCTCTCTCTCCAGCCCATGCCCTGTCATTTTTGTTGTTCTTATTGCTTTCTTTGTGTGTTTTATTTTTTGGGGGGGGGTCACATCCGGAAATCCTCAAGGGTTACTCCTGGCTTTGCATTCAGGAGTCACTCCTGGCAGTGCTTGGGGGACCATATGGGACACTAGGGAGGGAAACTGGTCAGTCATGTGCAAGGCAAACACCCTCCCCATTGTAATATCACTCTGGCCCCAATTCCCATCATTTTAAGTTTGAATTTAGGGTCCAGAGCATTAGTACAGTGGGTACATTGCCTTGCACATGGCTGACCCAGGTTTGATCACGGGCATCCCATACGGTCCTCTGCACTGCCAGAGGACTATTCCTGAGTGGAGAGCCAGGAGTCGCCCCTGAGGATAGCCAGGTGTGGCCCCAAAACAACAGAGTTGAATTTAATTCAATTTGCACTTTGGGGTACTGAACCCAGGGCATCATACACACATAGCAAGCATGCTAGGCTTCCCCCAGAGTGTCCTGCAGTGGACCCAGCATGGGGCTGGAGGCCAGCACGGCCTGCAGGTGGATTGGGCTGTGCTGGCGTGGGATGACCCTTGAGACATCTTTGGAAAAGAGAAGGTACCTGAAACCTGGAGAAATGAAGGAGGAACAAACACGAGATTCCAAATCAACAGACAGTGGACAGCCACTCTAGCTGCCCCTTCAGTAATGTCCACATGCAGACGTACAGCCTGTATCATGCGCATGTTTCAAAGCAAGAGGCAGGGGTGGTCAAGGGACATTCTTGTGGTGGGTTGTCCATTCGCACTCTGGACACCTACGAACTGAGGTTCCCACTGGGTTCTGTGAGGGACAGACACCACTGAGACTGCAGGAAGAAATTTGGAATGAAAATGTTGGCTGAGGAGCTGGATCAATAGTACAATGGGTAGGGCGTTTGTCTTGCATGCGAGTGACCCAGGTTCGATTCCAGCATCCCCTGAGCACCACCAGGAACCATTCCTGCGTGCAAAGGCAGGAGTAACCCCTGTGCATCATTGGGTGTGACCCCAAAAAGCCAAAAAATAAAAATAAACAAATTGTTAAATAAAGTGTTGACTGAGGGCCATAGGGGAGGATGCTGATGCTCTGGGGAATGAGTTTTCCTGGCATCCATTTCTCCGGCCTGTGGTTTCAATGGCAACCAGGTCAGCTGTGGGCAATCCTAAAGTCTCCTCATTCCCTCCTGTTTCCTGATCAGGATGAAGAGATGCTTCAGCTAAAAGCTGTTGGAGGATTCAGTGAAATGTGGCATGTTCGCATAATCAGGGCTGTCACAACATTCTCCACGCTAACAAATGCCATCAATATTGAAGTAGAGGGGCTGGAGCGATAGCACAGCAGGTAGGGCAGTTTGCCTTGCACACAGCCAACCCAGGTTCTATTCCCAGCATCCCATATGGTCCCCCAAGCTCCGCCAGGAGTAATTCCTGAGTGCAGAGCCAGGAGTAACCCCTGTGCATTGCCGAGTGTAACCCAAGAAGGGAAAAAAAAACACAAAGTAGAGACTCTGGGTGTCCAGTTTTCTTTTGGTGGCTATTAGGGTTTGAAGTAGGTTTGAACCTACTGCTCAGGGGCTGTTTCTTTGGTAAGTAGCTCTGGGAATTGAAATGAAAGGCAAACCACTTCACCACTGCCCCTCCAGCCTCTAGAT